ACATTACCATCTGACCAATCGCGGCATCAGGCCGCTTTAGTCTGAAGCCAATTAGCAAAGATTCTCTGGAAATTACAGGCCACTAGCCTTTTTGTTTATTTTAGACGTTTATCCCCACAAGTCATTTTAAATCAACCACAAAACCAGGTTATAAATGTGACAGATTTACAGTTTCTCACTAAGAATGACTATAAATCCGACGGATTTCGCAGTCATGATACCCAATTAACAGTCCCGGTTCATCACCTCTGTCATCTACTGCAAATGCACTTTTCATAGTTAAGGATTGTAAGCCAACGACTCGATATTACTTGGACTTGGTCATATCATGGAGATCAAATCTCAATGTCGAGATCCCAGCTGAAGGTTAAGATGGTGTTTCCTAGTAGCTATCTTCACCTGTCCATAACTTGATGTCAGGACTTAGTTTCTGGACTTGCTGGTGTCTTTTTAGATGTCAATATCTAGAAAAAAAAACTAGGGAAAATTAGTCCGAAAGTCATCATTTGAAATACGTTATGTTTATATGCAACCACCTGTCACATTACAGTAGGTGGTGGGAATATCAAGTTGATCCAGTCGTTTCTCTCAGCGAAGGTCTTACAATGGTTTTGAAGTTCTTCTGCAAGGACGGTAGTGTTTGCAAAACTCTATCAGCCGCTGCTCTACAGTTAGTTCCAATTGTAAAGTCATAACTTGTGGCAATTCCAAAATCTTCGCAGAAACATGAAATGGAAACCTGGTATTGGTCAAACATTCAGATGGGTCATCGTGACTTGTCCTTGGGTCCACTTTGAGTTAAAGATATGTTACTGTTCGAATTCTACCGTTGTGCATACTCCTCGTATCATCAAATGACAGTTGTGCGTCAACTAACCAATCCACAGGTATAGAATGCCCTCCTATGACAGCAATGCTGCTCATCCAACTGAACTTGAACCATGTAAACTCTGAGCTCAAATAAAGACACTTCATGATCACTATTTACTGACGGAGGGTGAATATTGAGGTTAAATGTGTCGTTCGCTACATGCGTTTATACGAAATCTAATAAGAAAAACCCTTGACTGAAATCAAAGTGAATGGCACTGTAGACGTTTTAATGGGAATATGGTTCATAGCAGATAAAAGATTGCTACTATAAGATACATTTCTAAAATCCATAGAAGTCACTTCACTAATTTATATCAAGTGCTTCAAAGTCACGTACTCAAAGACAGGATTTATCTCTTCAGAAGCTGCCTGTGCTAAAGTCATCAACCTGGTAGACTGGACTATGATGCATGAGTCAACGAAGGTAAATTCTTCGGAGTATTTTACAACTAACAATCTATGTACTGGCAGTGTGCTTCAGTCAGTGACCGCCCAAAAGTCAAGACTGTGACTCAAATATGGCACTATACCATCACCCCTAAGATGCTTTATTCTATCTATACAAAAAGGGTTGCATCTTGATAACTGGGATAATTCATTCTGATTAGGGATATACCATGTCTGTGGAGCTGTGGTTCATTGATTTAGATAGCTGACTTTCAACCAGTCACGGGTTCGAACACCGCTCCATCTACGGGAGTTTCGCCAGCCGTGTAGTATCATTAGGCCTCACAATGTGTGGCTCATACCTTACTTCACGGGAATACACAAGGTTGCTGAGATCATTTCACTCCCTTTCATGCCTCTAAGACAGCTTAAACGGTTGGGCAAGGTTCATCCACCGAAATTCCTAGCTCGTGAAATGTTTTTAAAAGACTACGATTGTTGCTGTAACACTTGTACAGTTCCTTATTTTGGTGGCTAATCCACAAACTCAGTTGCTAACATGGCCTTCTTATTGGCTGCTCAAATTACTGAGCATCAAAGTGAGATTTTATAGAAGTCTCTCACATAAAGATATACTCAAAATTGTGTAATCTCTGTCGAGACGCCATCGCCTGTTTAGTCATGCAATTTTGGCTGGAGTAGGTTCAGGCTGGGAAATGGTTAAACCACCTGAATACATTATGACACCAACCCATGAGGTCTCTAACTTTTGGTGTAAGCCGTGTAGGGAAATGTTGGTTTCCCGGTTAGGGTTAGCGTAACTGCCGAAATCAGTAGTTGAAATCTCTAGGTGATGTGGCCTAGGGTCGGTGTCGTTAACGTTAACGTATCCGCGAATTATCCTCATCTTTTCACTACCTTCTACCTCTTCTGACTAATTTATTACTCATCTCTCTCGTCTCTGTGTTATCTTGGTGTCTTATACTGATGTAGTGTGGCAATTTGTACTGTTGCGCAGTAATTTTATGTCCCATGTTGATATTGGCTGACTGAGTGTATTATTAATTCAATAGTAATTCGTTTCTTTCGGATTTTGTGCACCTGGTAGTTATTTTGTAATGTTTGAGTGACCGTTTTACTTTGACATAATTATGAATATCTGGGTGTTTTCAACTGTCTTACCAGCTACTCAGCACCAATATGAGATGTGGTATTACTGGCTAACAGTTCGAGTTTCCATATCAGCAGATAAAGGCAGAAGGTATGGGGATGAGACAGAAGAATAAGGAAAAAGTGACCAGAAGGAGTAGGAGGTTGTAGAGAGAAAAAAAGGAATAGACCAACAGATTGCACTGCAGTCCATTCTGTCCTGTTACATGGCTGTTACAAGTAGAGGACATGGAGCGGTTCCAGAGTTTTGCTCACACTTGTCTTCGTAGCATTGCTTGCGTTTAGTTGCATATTGCTGAGGTCAGGTAAAGGGTACTAGGCAAGACGACAACCAAGTCGATTGATGAGGTTGTGAACCTTGGTTGACTGAGATAACTTGGACATGTACTGGGCATGCCGAACCACTGCCTACCTTGGTTTGCCACGATAGGGCAAGCTTGGTTAAGTTGGAAGAGGGTTCAGGGTACCCAGACCACGATTTACGACCACCCAATGTAGTTTCTGTTTGAGTCGTATGGAGCGATGTAGACTTCCTGATTAAGGTCCTCGAGATGGTAGGAATCAGTGGTTGAGAATACTTGGTGAAAAGGCTGAAAACAGATCATAATGGCGCAAATGTATTCGCCTTTTGACTTCTAAAGCTTGGATATTCGCTCTAATCGTCATCTTCAGATTGTTTATTTTCTCACACTACTTAATCTTTGATATCAATTTTCCTATCCACCTCTTCTTTGTGTATTGCTGTGAAGTGTCGCAATTCGGGCTGATGCACTTGTACGCGATATTTTACTTTGATTTAGTCAGGGAGTCGATCAGACCAGTAGTCAAAGACTTTATGGACTCATGTCACGTTTTAATCTGACCGCTTCTAACTTTCTAGAAGAAAGTTGCTTCAGCTAACTTTACGCAACGAATTAGACGGTGGCTAAGCATTTATAAAGCATGTCCTACCCATCTGAGTTGGTGAATGTGTACAACCTCATCTCTTTTCCCTATTTCGTACACTTGACTTTGGCGTTGCTAACGTGGTGATTCCATGGCATAAAGCGTACTCTAAGAAGACAAAGATGGTCGCACACAGGAAACCTTCTCCTGTCCTACATGTTCAACTGCTATGTTTCACAGCTGTGTAGTAGAATATATCAAACTGTTGAGCAGCACATTTAATCCTTAATGAGCAATCGAATATCATGCCAGAGCCATAAATAGCGTCATTTGGAGAAGGCTAAGCAAGCCTTTTGTATGTGCTGATATTTCGTTGGTCACTCATGTATTCCGAACGGATATAATACGCACGCTTAACTGACAGCTAACTGCGTACACAAAAGCCACCGGCCGTAACCCGGGACAAATAGAGAAGACCAAAGCTGGATGGGAGGGTTTATTTCTCAGAGAATAATGATCAATTAATTGATTCAAAAACACGTATGTATGCACATGAAATATGACCTTGTCCGTAAAGGCATTAACATAGTAAAAGTAAAGATTAACCAATCAGCGAGTTACATTACAATGAGGGCAAAAAATAAACTACCAGGCATACCGTAAAAATGGTATGAGAATGACAGGTTTAAAATGTTGAGATCAATAACAATGTTTTATGCAAGACTGGAGCCTTTCAACAGTTACTGACCCATCAGGGCTGATCTGATGCGTCAGCGTGCCCAGCCACTTTAATCCTTATTGTTAAACGGGGCACCAGCGCAGACTAGTAATGAAACAACAGTTTGAATTTGAATGGTAAGAAATGCGTCCCCAACATTCTTGAATTAATACTTAAAGTGTTCAGTAGATTGAAGCTTTTCAGCATCACCTATCTGGAATGTCATCCGCATACTCTAGGTCTACGAAGGAGTCAACATATTTCATTCACATATCGAACAACGACAATATTTACAAAGCAAACATGCTTACAATCTTGGGTTGCTTATTTCTGAGATCAAAACATAGTTAATGCATCCCAGGATGAGATTTGAACCACCACATGTTGCTTACCCTGACTGATTCATCAAACCATAAAAGCCCTGTTTAATTAATCTTCAGTTTTTTTTACCGTTATTTTCAAAAGTCATTTACAACATAAGCTGTGGCTGTTTTCGTCTCTTTACCTGCATAGCACTTTCAGCCACTTTTCTCGCTAAAACGGATCCAGTGTATAACCAAAACGCCCATCTAGTTATAACATATCCGACCTACACTTCATGCTTTCTGTTGTCATGTTATCCAGCTATGTGACAAACTACGGTTCACTAATGCCCAACTTTCAGTGGTACGTATTTTCTCAATGCAGTATACTTTTGGGACTTCTAGTCAAGCTGTTCACTTGTGTTTATATGTGCTGGCAAAAAGTAACAATCGGAATTCTGTTACAAGTTAAGAATCTAAAATAAATTACTGACTTGGTTCTTGCGTATACGAACTATGCAACCCTACTTTGCTATTGCTTTGTTTACTTTTGGTGCTCTTTGCACACTATAAGAGTAGTATCAGTATGTGCTACTTCCTAAAGGCTATTTTTGTATCTTACAGATTGATAATCGTTCTCACTCCTGGTAGTTACAAAGCAATAAATGTCTTCATGTGAAGACCTATTCCAAAGTCCTTCCATTAAACTGGGTCTATGTAACACATCAAGTGATTTATTTGGTGACTCATCCAGCAAACTAATCCGAGTAAAGTTGTACTAACTTTTTTTGCAATGATTTGTTCATTTATTTACTAAAGAGAGAAACAGAATGAAAAACAAGTTGGGATTAACAATGTAGTCTCATTGATGCCAGACTTCTCATCTTACGAAAAGCATGAGTTAGTTATGGAATCAGATACTAGTCACCCTGCTGGTTCTGGGCTTCAGTGTCAACTATCAAGTGGTAAGTAGTCTTACGCAATTAAATGTTACATTTACAGTTGATCAAGAGAATGTTATTCCATCTGACTGCATTCCAAATCTAGTTATGAAAACTAAACCTCATCAGATGGCTTCGGTTTCATCCGCTGCTTTTTGTAGTACTCCTGGTCCTTTCAACGCCTGTTTCACACCAAGGTTGCCTAAAGTTCATAGTGAAACAGCACCTAAAACGGTATCAGGTGATTTCTTGCTGAATGCCCTGCAGGTAAATTTTCTTGTTTATTCTATGCTTGTGGTTAGTGGGGAGAAGAATTCTTATTCCATTTTACCTAACTCTACTCCACTTATAAACCTGTGATAAATTTACTGTCTAGAACCTACAGGTAGGGCAATCCAACACAACTTTTTGTACTATGGGGTATGAGAAGTTGATCTGTTTTACGGTCATGTCAGGCCCCATTTTGGAATCATTCATTTGACTTCACTTGACACTCAAAGAGGTTCAACATACATCGTGTAACAAATGTGGTTCATACTTCAGTGCGTGAATCTGTATGCGGTCACCTAGTTGCCCAAACGTGCTGTATTTCATATTTTACTGGTGAACTTTCAACAAACGTTATGAATAATTCTAATCTACAATTATTGTATTCGCCTAATTATGAGTTATAAGTCTAAAAATGTTATGAAGGTATTGACAGTTAATAAGGAAATAGATGAAATATTCATCTGGCTTACTCATTTTCCAACTACTAAGTGGATAGCAGTTCAACGAGTTAGTGACATTGAAAATAGCTAAGTGTAATATGTTAAGGTTTTTAAATCTTCCTCCTTTTCAATATTTTTTTCTGGCAAAAGACCAGCTCCTTGACCTAGACGATGTGAATACCTGATGTTTGAATTATTGCAGAAGTCAGAGATAAGCCAACTCAGTAAGTTGTTGATGAACAAACGTCTGTTCCAGGGATGTCCGATGTCAATGTTTATTTAGCTTCCTTATAGATATAGTAGTGGAGATTGACTTAGGTGAATCTTACTTCTCAGGGCTTGGCCTATTCCCTGGAGGGCACGTAATGGGTTTGGAGTACGCAGAAGACATTTTACTTTTAGGCGAGAACGTTAACAAAATGCAGGATCTTCTGAACGCTTTGAGGAGAAATCTAAGTGTGTGTAGCATACTTCTCACACCTGTCAAATGTAAATTCCCTCAGAATTGATCTAAACCTACTTCCAGTCTAAGGCTTATGTAACGGTACCTGCGGGTTTGGGTTACCTATTAGTGACTTATTTGTTTGTGTTACAGATGACTTTTCTGTTTGATTTCAGATTTTTAAATAAATTATTGTGAATATATTCAGTACTCATTGGGCTGTCGAGTCACACGTGTGACTTGTAAGTCTCGCATATCTTAGTAAGAATCTAAATTCTCTCTTTCTTGATGATAATTATCTGCTATTTTTATAGAATTTATTTATCACTTTTTGTATCGTTCTTGCTTCAGTCATTGATTCTAATCAGTTGTGGTCATGCTAGATTTTCATCATGACCCCTAATAAACTGTATTGATCTTGACACTACTTAATGTTCATTGGTCCTAAGCGTCTAGTCGAAAGGTGGGAATCTAACAAAAAACGATCCCACCTTGCTTACAACTACGTACTACGAAGCTGTATGCAAAACTACTTTGATGTGACAACAGTAGGGCATTTTTATTGGTAACCGAGAATTCTAAGTTGTTTGCCGTATTACCTTTCTTGTACTCATAATAAATTTTAAGAAATATCAGCACTAGATATACACTTCTTTTTTTTCTCGAAGCGTCTTGTTTTGCAGCAGATGAATGAGTATTAAAATGACAGCCAAAAAGCTTCAATTCAGTCGGAAACAAACCAATATCTTAAGTATTTTTTTTGTCATCCTTTTGTGTCGTGCATGCTTACAAATGACATTGTTTCATTCAGTATGATTCATAAATTCTTTGGAATCCATAAAACTTTTTTTCAACTACAAGGATTACTGATTCTGTGTTCTTAGGGAGATAATCACAATGTACAGATCAGGAGGCTAACTTTCTTGAGAAGATCGCTGCAGTGTTTTGTCAAAGTTGTCAACTCAGAAAGTTAACAGTAGTTGATCACTTCAATGTTCGTGTACAGAAGTAATTTAGCATTTACTAAAACTACCACAATGAAATTAATCGTACAGCAGTCTCTGATTGATTATCATGAAACAGGTGTGTTTTACATTTCCCTGAAACGTCCCTTTCTGCTTTCAACCTTACAAGAATTAATCTTTTACGTACACAAGTGGGTTGGCCACTATAAATTTATTTAGCAAAGCTGTACAATATGAATGTTTGACGAATTGTAAAGCAGTTTTATCTTTCCCTATCGTAACCTCAAGATCCCTAAAATGTTATTTGAATACAAGAAGTTCATAATGATATTTCAATGGTAACCTTAACTGATCTAATGCGACTACTAAAAGTTACTTGTCCACTTGCATGCGTAATATCAGTAGTTCTCATGGTTCATTTATCAGCAAGGAAAAGCTGATACTTACTTGTTACGTGACTAAATTTTTCGCTGTAACTCATCATCAAAATCAACATAGGAAAGGGATTACTGCGTAACGGTCGAAGTTGCCACACCTCATATCAGCAGATCAAGTAACGAGGCACCAAAATGGAAGATAAAAAGGAAAGAAAAATCGATCAAAGAAGAAGTAGAAAGTAGCAAAAGAGAAGAAGAAAGGATGAGAAGATAATGAGATTAAGTACAGCGGTTAGTGTGAGGATAATGTGTGTATACATCTGTGCCACTGACATTGGTTCTGAGCCATATCACCTAGAGTCTCCAACCACTGGTTTCTCTTATCCTGTGGATGCCAACCGGTTAGTCTGCATCGCCCGACATGGCTTAAACGAACAGTCAAGGACTTCATGCATCGACGCCATATTTTAATCTGGCCACCTCGAGCCTTTTTCCAGCCTGCCGGCCAGCATTGTGTTACGAGGCAGACGGTGGTTAGGAATAAGTAGCACATGTCCCAACCAGCCATCTCAGTCGATAGAAGTTCACAACACCGTCACCTGACTTACCTCTCCTCCTTAACACTCTACGCCCGACTTCTGCGTTACTCATATGGTAACAGGAAGACTCAGTCTGTGCTACGAAGGCAGCGGTGGTCAAACACCAGAAGCATTCTCATATCTTTTGCCTTTAATGACCATGTTTCACAACTATGCAGTAGAATAGATGGGACTGCAGCATAGTACACTCGACCCTTAATAGACAATCGGATATCGCGGCGGTGCCACAGACGGTGTGGGTTGGAGAAGGACAATCAAGCCTTTTGCATCCATGCAGAGATTTCGTTGGCATCTGACCAATGCACCATGGCTGATCCGAATTCTCAGGTATCTGAAGCGTTCAACACACTCAGCCACTTGACTCTGTCTTGTTAGTCGGGGTACCATCGAGACCAGTCCTGGAGCAACAATTTGTGCTTGGGTGGTGGAAAACGCATCCCGAGCATTCTTGAATTGCCACTCAAGGTGTTCAGAAGACTCTATATCTTGTCAGTGTTTTCCCCTAACAGGACTATGTCATATGCGTATTCTAGGTCCACCAAAAATTCCCCTGTGATTAGGTTAATCCCTGTGTAGTTGGATGTCGAGAAGGAGACCTCCATAAGAGCGTCTATGATAAAATTGAATAGGAATGGAGAGAGTGGGCAAACTTGATGGACACCACTCGACGTACACAACTCACCAGGAAAATCTCACCATAGGCTCTAACACATCCACAGGTGTTCGAGTAGAGAGCCTTACTCGTTACCCTTTCAATGAGAGACACTGCATTAGACTTCTCGATCGACAGAGTCGAATCCCGCCTTCTGGTGGAGAAATACAGCTATTATCAGGTATCGTTAAGCGTGCGTGTATTCCAAAACCTGACGGAGTGTGAATATTTGGTCGATACACCCACAACCAGGTCTGAAGCTCGCCTGGTCTCAGACTTATTCTTGAGCTTCACTCAGGCGTCTAGTGATTATAGAACCTAGAATCTTAGACACTGTGTTTACCATGCTGATTCTTCTGTGGACATCACAAGAGGACTTCTCGCCTTTTTCGAAGACTAGGATAGTCAGTGATTGAGGCCAGTCACAGGGGATCATATTTGACTCATATGCACTAGTTAATACTTCAGTTAACTTGACTAAAAATCGCTCTACCGCTGTCCTGATATACCACAGGAACTAGTCTGTCTGGACCTGCTGCCTTTCCTTATTTCAAGTTATCTACCACTTTCTCAACTTCTGCTAGTGTTGGGGGTGACGGGCTATCTCAATGTCCATTCAGGATGCGACTGAATAGCTAGCAACGCAATAGTAGCTGAAGGGTAGTTGAACTGTTCTCGAAATGTTCTGCCCACCGTTACAGTCATCTTCCTTTGAATGAATCGCAGACCCATCCTTCTCCATTATGGTCTCACTAACCGTTGTTGATCTTTTCACCACAGTTTTCTTAATAAGTCTAAATAATTGCTATAACTACCATCGGAGTAAGGTAATCAAAGCATAAGTATTGAGAAATCATTAATGGGCAATACTTACAAGGTATTAGGATTTATTTAGGAAAAGTTCCAAAATTTTTGACTCACCTAATTGAATGTTAAGTGGTTAATCTAATAAGCTGAAACTCTATGCCTTTTATTTGCTAAAAGTAATTGTTATGTTGTGGTGTTTATAAACACTGAGAATTGAATAAGGTAAGCATGTGAATAATGTTAATTTGCATTCTTATTCATTCACTTTTTTCTTTGAGTGAATTTCCTAGAAAGTATAATTTTAGGTCACACCTATTCATCCAATTTTTAAAAATCAAAATCTATCTATTAAATCTGAAATGGAAACAACAGTATCTCAGTTAAATTATCAACCTAAGAATACATCATTACAGCCTTACCATTCAATACACGGTTTCGTTTCAACGGATAACCATAATTTAGTAAGTAATATTTTTATTCTCTAAAATGATCTCTGTTTATTATCTTGTTATTCATTATGACTATGAATTGGTTATGTTTAGGGTTAGGGTATATTAAGTTATAGTAGAACAGTTTTTTGTTATTGTTGTGTTTATTACCTTGTAGATAGACATTTGCACAAGTTTATTCGTCGTCTGACTCTATTCTTGTAGCATGATATGATGTTTACATTTTTATACTGATTCTTAAAGGTAACTTCCTTTTTCTTTAAAAGTTGACTAATTGAAAGTTTTGGCCGTAAGTTTTGTGTACTTGAAGCGAATTCTCACTCCATATAAACCATTGTAGAAACTTGACTGGTTAGGATCATAAACATTGGGCGCTTAAATGCAAAGTTGACATTAAAAGATATAGATTATATGTGTGTCAACTTCAGTGTGTTTAAAATAAAATAATTCCAGCGTTTTACATGAAAGTTTGATCTGTTAGGGCTTCACTTGGACTTTAATTATTTCCATGTAGACGGTCAGACCAGACTTATGTGCGAAACGTTGCAACTATTTTTTATTTCAAACAAGTTATACAACTTATGTATAGTAATGATAGATACTGGCTAGCAGTGGAATCCAAGATGCGCATTTCGTCCTATTTAGGACTCGTCAGTTGGATGTACCTGTCTCCCAGTGAATGGTGTTGTTCCCACCGGGACTCGGGCTCGGGAGCGATCGCTTCAAACGCTAAGGCGTTATTCACTAGACGACCCAGCCATGATAACCATTTCTTGTGCAACGGGTAGAGTTTTTAGTATAATTGCTTATATTATACCGTCGTTAATTGGACCGAATTGATCGGTCTCTATTGTCTTATGGGCTCCCTTGCGGTCAAATCAACGACGGTATAATACAAGCAATAATACTATATTACTTGTGTTTATCATTTTTGTTTTTTGGACTGCTTTTGCGTACGTTCCACCTTAAATTCATTTATTTCGTTGACCTAGTATAGTTCATTGCTTCAAACTTGTAATCATTGCCTCAGTTTCAAAATTGTTCTCACCTGCTGAAATTTTGATTGTATTATCAGTCACTAGTCACTACATAGATTACCTAAGGTAATAAAGAGATGCCTGATCTACACTGTCAACTTCTTGGAAAATACTATGATATTAGGAGAAAAAGGGGTTCATAGGTTACTTGATCAGAGAACGAATTCATCGTCTATCAAGTCTGAAGTGTACAACCTGAAATAGGCCGACAGCAATAAAGTGTAGACATTTCTTATTTTATGTGGATCTTCTGGCGTAATGACAGAAGTAACTGTTGATAGGATCTCCGCAGGTTACTGCATCTCTGACTTTCAGTACCATACTATCCTATAAATCAACTAACAAGCATCTACCTACCTCTATTGTAGACATAAGGATTTCATTTTCAACTCTAAGGTTTATATGAATCCTGGTCCAGATTTGACCGAATACTTTCACTAATATTGGGCGCTTAATGAAAAGTTGACAAGTCTCAGAGTGTTTGAAATCGGAAATTCCAAGGTTTTAGACGGAAGTCTGCTCCGAGCTTCTTCAAGATTATTTTCCTTAAGAAGCCGGGACCAGACTTCCGTCTGAAAGGTTGGAATTTGTAATTTCAAACACCCTGAGATTTGTCCAAACACAACTTATGTCTAAATTAAGGTTGTTTGTCCGGGTTTTCAAGATGTCAAACAACTAAAAATTCCCATAATATTTATAAAAAGCAACAATCTCAATGAAGAATATTCTTTTCAATAAATTCTCTTCAGGTTCTACAATTATAAAATGGATTTGTACAGCATGAAACCAAGCCATGTTATGGCTAGTTACATTTTCAAAATTGCGTGTGGTCTTGGGGAGTGTAAGGAAATCGGTTTATCTTTTCAAATTATTCAATATTGGGATGATACATATACAGAAGAACGATATAACGAGGAACAAAAAGATAACGAATAAGATGGCAGGAGTAGCTTTTAGTTAGCTGAAGACCAAGCGAGAAATCACGCTTGAACATGTCCTTTCTGAATTCAGAGTTCAGGCTTGACTAACCGTATTCCGACAGCCTCAGCTGTGTTGAGCTGGTATTGACAAGTTACATGTGATATCGCTTTTGGAATACGACGAATAACGTTGAAAGTTTTATTAGCATCTGTGTGATGCTCTATGTTGACTAGATACGCTAGGACTGCATTTTTCACCACTTTCACTTCGCCCTTTCCGAACCAAGCTTGTAAATTCTCTCGTATCCCAAGACTCAACTGCCTAGTTGTACGCCCTATGTAACTAGTTGCACAGGAACAGTTAAATTGATATATGCAAGATAAAGAGGTAAGATTAAGTAGGCTGTCCTTTAGTCTCGCATCGAGCACTGACCGACTACTGAATGATATCTAACGCTGACCTGCACAAAACATCTTTTTAACTGGTCTAGCTAGGTGCTGTCACTTACAACATCTCCCTTGTATTGTAAGCGCAGAAACAAAGGCTTCTTCTCCACTGTCATCAATTCTTCTTTAGGACCAATGTGGTTGATGTTAGTTTTGATGAACATTATTATTTATCATTTGGGTTCCTAGTGGAACATAGGGCTTCAGTAGCACGTCTTCAGTGCACTCTCTTCTCTGCAGTCTTTTGAATCTGGCTCCACGACAGCCCACAAGCTCTCATTTCTTCCTCACATGGTCTCCTCTATGTCATCCTTGCCTCGGACTCCCAACTCGACGTTTCCCATCTGGGTTCCACTTGAGTGCCAGGCGCGTGATGTCCCCGAATGGTCTTCTCAGTGCATGTCCAATCCATCTCCACTTCCTCCTGCATATTTGTTCGGTGATAGGTTCTTAGTTGGTTCGTTACCAGCCAGCCAGAGTTCCTTGTTGCTTATTCTTATTATTCTGGCCATCTGAGCTTCAGTGTCGAGCCAGCGTAGGCAGCAGCTGTTGATGAATGTTTGTAGTTTGTCGGAAGTGCTTTTCGTAACGCACCAAGTCTCTGAACCATATAATATAGAAGCACTGACTTGACTGAGATTTGTGTTGAAAATCCGGATCTTGTTCACACTTTGTGCTGAGTGCAGTACAGAAGATCTCCACACTGGTTTCAACTTGATAAACGCCTGTTTTGCTGTCTTTCCGATGCTGACTGGGTTTGACGTCGTCATGTGTGCCACCGCCACCTGTAGTTGAAAGCATTACTGCCTAGACAGGTGAAAGAGACTACTTCCTTTAAGTTCCTCCCGTTGATGGTGATTAGAGCTTCTTGTTGTTGTTGATGGTGGTGGCGTTGGTTGGGTATCATCATCATCATCATCATCTGTGTCTTCTCTACGTTGACTTGAAGTCCCGTCTTCTCTGCCTCGCCTCTTCTGTCAACTTGTTAGTTTTCGCCTTTAGATCTTCGAGTTTGTGTAACAAGACATTAGACGTAAGTCATCATGGGCGAAATCCAAATCTTGTAGGATGTTTTCCCTGGTCCAGTGTATGCCCCTCTTCTCGCTCCTCACAGTTTGTTTCATGATCCGGTCTATCACAATCAGAAATATCATCGGCGATAGTAGGCGGCAGCCTTGTTTTACTCCTGTCTTCACTTCAAAAGCATCACTGAGCTTTCCCTTGTGGATCACTTGGCATGTGGCATCTTCATAGAGGTGTTGAATGAAGTTGATAAAGACTAGTGGCACTCCGTAGTGTTGAAGCAACTGCCAAATTACTTCTCGGTTGACGCTGTTGAAGGCCTTTTCAAAGTCGATGAAGTTGAGGTAGAGTTGAGTTGACTGGCATTCTATACTCTGTTCTGTGATGATGCGTAGCGTAGCATTGCAATTTGGTCCGCATATGATTTGTTTTTCCTGAAGGCAGCCAGCTTGTTCCGGTCGTAGTTTTGAACCCAGCGCATCCTTTAGTCTCACCAGGATGATGCGGCATAATATTTTGTTTGGAGTAGACAGGAGCATAATTCCTCGCCAGTTCTTGCAAAGACTTAACATTTTAGCAATAGTTCCTTCGAATTCATAATCGGAATACCACTGTCTAACTTCTTTTCCAAGCATAATCGACGATTCCCATTGAAAGGACATTAGTAAACAAAGATGTGATATGTAGGAATCCTATGCATTTGTTTAAAATATACAAGATGTATTTTATAAAACAGGAAATACTCTTCGTAAGGATTGCGGATATGGCGTCAGTGGGAATTTTTTTCTGTGTAATTTGAGTTCTTGTCGATTGATGATGTTGTGTTGTAGTCAACCGAAAGTGCAGCTTCTCTTTTATCCTTAGTCTTCCCTATTTTCGTTCAAGTAGCACACCGAACGAAACAAACATCTAATTGATTTTTTGTTTACCGTCTGTACATTTTATGATAATTTTTTGTGATAAATGTGTAGATTCTGTGTTTCAATAGTGTTTCTGTATTTTTATCTAGTTGTTTTTATGATTGCTATTGTAGATACAAGACAACCTTATTCCAGTCGATGGAATTAACTTCTCTGAATCACTTCATCAATCATCATGTAATCCTTATGTCTGTTTATCTAATGAACGGTTTGAAAACTGGCAACATTACCCTGAATCCCCAATAATAAATAAATTTATTCAAGCTGGTAAAAAGTCTGGATCGTATACTAAACGAATTACAAGACTTTTTCGTTATGAAAATATGATTTTAAATCGTTCATATATGGTGAGTTAATCATATGATTATGAATGGCATTCAATGATAGTAATAATTGTTGTGACCGTGTGGGGTTGCGGACGTGGGTATACTGATACTGAGACTTAATATACACCTCAACTGAATAGTTTTATAACTGACCTCCTTCAGTACTTTCTGCTTCACTGAGCCGCAACGAAATCAGAAAACAAAGATGATCTGCGAAGTGCAAGAACACCTACACTCTTTTCTAGGCAAATACATGATATATATGTATTTACAAAACTCTAAGAAAGTGAAGCCATAAATGAACCAATCCGATTTGTTGTATGAGGTCAAATTCCTCCAATCAGATTCTCATATCAGAGCATGCCTAAATCATGATCTGATCATGACTTGAAAACAACTCCCCTATTGGCTGCCTTTTGTCACTACATATGAATAATAAAAAATGGTGTATTTTTATTGCATTGATTTTATTTCTCATAACTTTCAAAACATTCCATCAGATTATTAAAACAAGTTTACATTGTGTACTCTAAATCTTCCACATGTGCACTAAATTTAAAGTGTTCAGTAAGCTATCAGTGTCCAGTATAGGTTAGTCGTGTGATACATCTTAGTTGTAAACTCAACGCAAAAAGCCTAGAAAAGTATGATGTTCAGTTGTCGAAACTTGATTTAGAAACATTGTTTTATGCCTTTAAATATATTCCTGACAACAAACTAAACTGAATTGATCTGGAATGTCAATTTGAAAATGTGTACAATCAACTGTTGAATTTGAAGCTAATATCGAACGATAAGCAAAGCTGGCTGAAAGCTAGATTCGTTGATTTACCTAATCCGTATGCCATAAGAATACCTAAAAATGTATCACAAAGCCGTTAGTGAACTAGTAATAAGTTTACGAATTGTTGTACTGAGACCTGATAAAGACTCCGGTATTGTCGTGTTAAACAAATAAGACGATAAATTGGTTGGTTGTGGCTAGCAGAAGAATCCAGGATGCGCGTTCCGTCCTATTTTCGACTCGTCAGCTGGATGTACCTGCATCCCAGTGATGTTGTTCCCACTGGGACTCGGACCTCGTACCCGTCGCTTCTAACGCCAAGGCGTTATCCACTATGCCACGGAGGAACGGTAGTCACTTCTTGTACAACGGGTAATGGTTATTACTATTTATTGACATACTTGTTATTCTCCGTTGTTTTTGCTGGATTGAATTGTTCGACCTCTATTGGCATATGGGTTCCTATGTGGATACCTCGATATTGCCCGAATGTTAATTATGATAAATTGGTTGGTTGTGGCTAGCAGAAGAGTCCAGGATGCGCGTTTCGTCCTATTTTTGACTCATCAGCTGGATGTACCTGCATCCCAGTGATGTTGTTCCCACTGGGACTCGAATCTCGTACCCATCGATCCAACAAAAACAACGGAGAATAACAAGTATGTCAATAAATAGTAATAAACAAGACGATCTTTCAAAAACACTCAGCCTATTGAATGATAAGAAAAGAGTCATCAAGACAACTGAAAAGAAGATAAATCAAGTCATCAGCCAGTTTCTGAAGCATAGTTTAATCGATGATAAACTCTGTAAGACGTTGAAACCGTGAAGTAAACATTTACCACGAATGTACAGTCTTCCCAAAACACATAAAACTGGAATATAATAATGTTCTATATTGGCCTTTATCGAACTGTTCATACCATGAACTTACTCGGTGGCTTGCACAATTAGTTGAGCCTATCAAGAAAGAGTTAACTGAGCATACTTTGAAGGGTAGTTTGGAATTAGTTAGTAGGCTTGATGATATTAATATCAGCAAAGATCACTTGGTTCCTGTGGATATTGAATCATTATTCACGAATGTACCACTCGAGGAAACAATTGATATACAATGTGGTCATACCAACATGATAGACTTTCCACCCAACAGACTGAAAGATTTATTAATGTTATGCACAAAAAATATGCAACTCCAGTTTAATACAAACAGACAGAAGGTGTGGCTATTATGATGCGGAGTTGTGAGAACGAACGATAATATTTAACTATTGATAGTTGAGGGTTGAGACGATTCAACCCGAATAATTCGCAAGGAGAAATCAAGAGACTGGAAATCATCTGAGTTTATAGTATCTTGAACTGAAAACGTGTATGAGGGTAAACGGATCCTATTTATAGAGTTTACAGTAAGTAACCTTGAAAGGCAAAGAATAGTTAGCACATTTAAAGAGGTAGGAGACAACCGGAACGCTAGAGGGTCATACGAAATATGACTCATGCGCGGGAAAAAGAGTGCGAAGTAAAACAGTTAAAATATACTTAAACTGTAAGGATGGCTATGGATAGTCCCCATATTCGTAGACAAATACCTAGGCCAGTTAGAGAATACAAAACTAAATGCATACCATAAAACAAACCAAATTGTATTGGAGATATGTAGGTTATACTTTCATCATACATGAGAGTAAAGTCCACTCAAGAAACCTACTGATATGAACGTACTTACCAAATAAGACTCTGTAATTCAGTGAACAACATTTATAGTCTCAGTTACAACTACTTACGAATATTTCTAAATATCCAAATTGTAGTGTACACAACTTACCCTTTTATCAAGAAATGTTTGTGTTAATCTGATTGTTGTTTTAGATTCTTTTGACCATCTACATACTAAAAGCTTGCTCCATTCAACTTTTTGTCTTTACTACTATCTTATGGGTTTAAAATTGAACTTTCAGTCAATAAGTCCTATTTTGACCTGACCTAATTTGTTCTGGACATCTAGACAGTATCATAAACCCTTTGAAGCTAAGTGTATTTCAAACACATCGAAATAATTAAACCTCACTGCCTTATTGAACTGGATGACAATACATCATAAAGTCAATTACAGTTGGCATCATTACTTCATGAATTAGTTTTCAAAAAATTATCTACTATTTTACCCTAGTTCTCTATACCGATTAAAGTTTATCAGTCGAGGTTCAAACTTACTAAACATTACAGGGTTCATGTTTTACAAAACCTCTAACATTGGACAATATTTACTAGTAATTAATAATCAAATGTGTTTCTTGTCTATTGACAATTTACAATTACACTGTCTACTTCATCATAATCATCAATATGAACATACGACTAGGCATTACTGCGTAACGATCCGAGTTGCCACAGCTCATATGACTACATCAAGTAGAAAGGTGGTGAGATGAAAGATGAAGGTAAGAAAATTCACTCAAAAAAATACAAAGTACGAGAAGAAAGAAAGGAAGAATGACAAAATGGTGAGAATCGGTATAGTGTTAAGATGAGGACGATTTTGTGTATACATCTGTGCCACTGACATCGGTTCTGAGCCATATCCTCTAGAGTCTTCAGCCACTGGTTCCTCTTGTCCTGCGGACCCCAACCACCTAATCTGCATCACCCTAATGGCTTAAACCAACAGTCAGAGACTTCATACATTGGTACCATGTTAGTCTAGCCACCTTGGGCCTACTTCGGCCTACTTAATTCTATTTTATGAGATCAGTTACATCATACTGTGCAATATGGGTTTCAATTTCAGGGAAGGATAGTTTATCGATTGTTTTGAAGGCGAAGAGTATAATTTCCGGTGATTAGATTTATTTTGTCTTATTTTATTATTGTAAAGAGCAAGTTTGTTATCCCATGTAAATGAGTAGTCGAGTTCCCTTATAGGCGTACCTAATACACTGTTACTAGTTGTAACTGTTTTCTATTTGGGAAGCGGTAATTGTGAGTTGTTAGTTCACTTACAAGGCATTCATATGACGGATCATTAAATAGGCCATTATTCTCTACCCGGTGAGTCCTAGGTAACCCTTACATAGTATGACCAGTTGCTAATATACATGGTCGCCAAGTAGCTCTTTGCACTTAGAACTAAAAAAGACTTTTTTTTGCCGTACAGAAGGCCATCATGGACGGTCTGACTTCAGGCACTGCGTGACGCAGAATTGAAGGGTCGACGTTACACTTCGTTGATGAGTTCTGACAAACAAATCCCATATCTAAGGTTTCCCATCAGTTGTTTCGTAACATATAACTCAACGAAAACTGTCATACATATAGATGGAAATGAAGTAGGAACAAATCTCTCGACAAGAAGGCAGCAGACAAAACTTCATATTATTACCAGGATCTTGTATATTATTTGTATAAAAAGAAAACAGTTTTCAGTATAGAATGACATCATTCGGGGAACTACTGTAAAACTCGAAACAGTAGACAGTTGTTTCTTCCTAGTTCCTGACTCCGTGCCAATACACACCCATAACTCTGTGAGAAATCGAACTCATGACTATCAGTTTCCGAAACAATTTGCTCACAAACGCAGGAGAAGTACTTTAGATGCTGCCACTGTCTTGCATCATAATATTATTTCTATTCTAAACAAAGGTGCCAGGTATGTTCGCTGTAGCTTCTTGGATCATGTATCTGCCTTTGACTCTGTTCCCAGACCACTCTTGTTAAATAAGCCTGTCTAGTTCACTAGTTTACTAGCCGATCCTAAGCCAGGACAAAGAGGGAAGGTTGGGCATAGGACTAGCAACCATATCCCGTAAAACCAATCCAATCGCTAAAGAAACTTCAAAGCATAGAGAAAATCTATAGAATAAAAAAAAACTTATTCCTCGCTGGAATCGGGAAGACAAAGTGACGCCGGTTGATGAAGGCCTTCGGGAAGCCAATTGGCTGATGTGTCTTCACTCTCGATGAAAGCAAAAGTAAGCTCATAGTAAGCCATGGGTTACAAAGTGGGTGTATCCTTATTTTCCTGAAAGAAAGCAGTATACTGCGTATAAAGCGAAGTGCTCCACCTCATTGCTTACTGAAGCCAGTGTACCTTAAGGAGCAGTGCTCCTGCGTTTGTGTTTCCTTTCTTTTTGCATGAACTACCTCATTCTGTTGGAACGAATTTTATTAAATATACTGATGACCTGACGGTTTCTGTGCCATTTAGATTGCCCTGAATTAAATGGATTCTTGTCTGTAATTGACTAATGGTGTCAAGTTTCACCCTTCAATATGTCACACTTAATTTCAGCCCCGGGCACAAAAAAGACTTGTGTGAGTTGTTGCATAGGTCCCATGATTCCTGTTTTATTGATGGTATTACTGTGGAATGCAAATCAAGTGTTTACTACCTTGGATTAACCTTTACTTCCGGTCTGTTGTTGGTCATCTCATATCTTGTTGGCTTCCAAGAAACTCTTTCGTTTAGCTTATTACATAAAAAAAGAGAGTTTATGGTATAACTCAGCGTTTACTTTTACAATTTATTAATTACTGGATTTTATCCATTCTTCTCTCTTGTTCCCCATTGATCTTTGATAGTCTATTGAAAAAGGACTATGTTGTATTGGATAGGGCTGTCAATAGGGTGATTACCACGGTAGTTGGTAGACATTTAAATTTTAGCAAGCTACTAGCTACAGAAATTTTAATTGACACTGAGCATCCACTTCCTTCACAGGTGTCTCCTAGTATCTCCTCAGGGAGGACAAGAAGACTGTACGCTCGTGTATAGCTAAATACAAAAATTCGACGGTGCTTAACCTAGCACGCATATTATATGCGGAAAAGTGTATTAAAACAGAACTCACTTATCAACTTTTTGATAATAAATACTCAGTCTTTCCAATATTTTAACTAATGATGTAAAAGTTTTCTCGTTATTTATATTCTTTCCATAATTTACACTATTCGAAATGTTGTGAAGGGTTTATGTATATATCATTTTATTGCAATATGCTGAGAATTCCAAATTTTACCAAAAATTATTTGGAGTAAAGTGATTATTAGATTTTGAGGGACTTGTGGAGATTTGGAAATATTTCAAGTTGTTATTCACCGTAGACTGATATCAGTTGGGGGAACAAAGGAAACCTGGGAGCACTGGACAGTTGCATCATCCTACTAGTATGGGACTCCTCAGCAGTGCCCACCCATGACCCCGCCAGGGATCGAAGCCATGACCTTCAGGTTCCGTGGCCAGCACGTTACCATTCAGCTAGCCAGTGAATCAGAATCCAATGGTTCATATTTCCAACTTCTGTTAGCTCACGATATAGTGCAACCGCTGAGGAATCCCATACTAGGACGGAACAGCTGTCCAGTGCTTCCAGGTTTCCTTTGTCAGTCTACGATGAATAACAACTTGAAAGTTATTATTATTATTAGCAACATCACTCACTGAAAGGCAGATAAATAAGTGTAGCTGATGAATATTAGGTCGGACGAAATGCACGTTCTGCTAGGCACTATCCCTCAATAATGTCAAATTTATGATAAACTTTGAAATGTCAACATTCGCTACTCTTCTGAACGTTTGCTTATCATTGTATAATCATGTAGATTACTTTCTTTCCTTTCTACTGCAGACATTATATGGGGCAGGAGATGTGAAAGGAACATTGTTTAAAATTTGTGGACAGTCAGAATATAAGACATTCGCTCAATTATTTGTTCCATTGTAAGTGATATTTTCAATCGAATTATTATTTTAGTTTTAATTTCTTTTCAACCCCCTGCTTTTTTATTAAACACCTAGTGTTGGAATTTTTAAGTATATTAGATTAAACACTTTTGATTTTCTTCAATAAATGTACATCTCAACAATCTCTGTATGTTCTTGATATTGCATGTTTGTAGTGTTGTTGATCTCCGCTTCCCTCAAGGCAGTATGTCTTCTGACTTAGGTTCAGGTTGAAACAATACCACTAGTGGGATTACTTCGCGATATGGCACTTATTCATGAAAATCATGAAATATTCATTTGTACTATTGAAAAAAGTATTAACTAACTAACTGAATTAATCGAGGTGTTAGTAACCCGCTAGTTTGAAGCTCATGTGTGCATTATATATTCTGAGAGGATGTAATACGCAGGCTTAATTGGTAGGTAACTTCGTTCGCAAGACCCAGTAACTGCAACTCGGGATGAAATAAAGAAGGAGATTAAACTGGATGGGAGAGGAGTAGTCTATTAGCCCAAAAATATGTGCATATATACATGACATAAGACCTTGTCGAAAATTTGAGACATTAAGGTAGTAAAAGAAACCATTAACCAATCAGCAAATTACCTTGAAAATGAGGGCAAAAATGAACTACTACTAGTCATGACGTAAAAATGGCGCGAAAACAACAATTTAAAAATGCTTGGATTAATAAACAATATTTTTTTTCGCAAAACTGAGACCCTCCAGCAATGCGATACTGCTCATAATTTATTATCTCTATTCTCACCTTTTCGCCCGGAACCTGATATGGTGGTATTACTTTAGTCATAAGCATACCTGAAGTAAGCAGAGTAAATATTCAGCTCTAGTCAACTTTGTTTCTTAATCGTCAACGTTGATCGATGTTTAATATCTTATCAGTCTCATTATGAACTCTGTATTCTTTAGGTTTTCGTGTATTAAACGCCGACTAGAAGACATTGCTTTTTATCCACCCCACATTTTACCGATGGTGTGTGTGTGTGTGTGCTGCAAGTAGTAGCTCAATATAGGAAATTATCTTAGAACAGCAGTTTCAGTAGCCCTGAAATGTTATCTATACCATTCAAGCGGTTTGAATACTGCTTCTTATCCACCAGTAGATGGAGTCGGTTCAAAGAAACTAAAAGATGGTCAGTTTTTTAATACAGAATCTTGGATTGGAGATTAGTTACGATGCATTGTATATAGCTATTCATGGCTCTTAAGATCATGCGATTCATGCGATGTTTGAAAAATAATGCATACTTGATCAGAGCTTCCTGTGTGAATCTTGTCTAATGGCTCCTTCTCCTACTGTTCTATTATTCTCTCTCTCCCCCCCCTCCCTCCCTCCCTGTACATCTTGAAATGACTTTATTATTTCATTTAGTCCATTTCTTAGTGTCGTTAAGGCTCTGGATTTATTTTTAAATAGTAGTGATAACAATAATAATTTGATGAGTAAAGACAGTGACTATAGGCTTCTTTTACAATGAGAGCCGCTCAGCTGCTTAGAACAAGGTTGAAGTGACCTAGATGTGTTATTTAAGCAATATGATGAGTTATGATCACCGGATTACACATTACGTTATCATTAGAGTGAATAAAATAGAAAATGATATTGAAACATTATGGTGAGGATATATTTTCATACTGTGATAAGTCTGACTATAACAGTTGGCGACAATGAATAATTGAGAAAATAACAGTGTAAAGGTTGTCAATATGCTGACGATCACATGGCCAGAATAATAAGAATAAGCAACAAGAAACTCTGGGATGAACCAACCAAGTATCCATCGCCCAACAAATATGCAGCAGGAGAAAGTGGAGATGGATTGGATTGTATTAGATATACACTGGGAAGACCGATTGGGGACATCACGCGACACGTCAGGCTCTCGAGTGGAACCCAAAGGGGAAACGACGAGATGGGTGACCGAGGCAAGTGTGACATGAAGGAGATCATGTGAGGAAGAACTGGAAGTTTCTGGGCAATCGTGGAGCCAGATTCAAAAGACTGCATAGAAGAGAGTGGAATGGCGACGTGCTACTGAAGCCGTTTGTTCCACTAGGAACCCAAGGGAAAAATAATAATAATAATAATAATAATAATAATAATAATAATAATATACGTTATCTTGTGTAGAAGATAAGTTTATTCTTTGAGATGAAAGCATTCATCGACTGAAGTTTTAGCGCAGCAGCATAATCAGTGATTAGGTTAACTTGTAATGGGGAAGTACAAAGTTAAGCGAATTTGAGGTTTGTGGGGATTTGGGTTTTTTAAAGTTCGTATTCATCATCTCTAAATCCCCACAAACCCCTACATTCGATTGAAGTAGTGCTCATTGGTGACTAGCCTCAAGAGGGTGATTCCTGAAGTTTCAACTTGAACAAATTTAAGAGATGTCAAGTAATATTGAACGACGCTGGTTGTTTGGAAAAATTGGTACGAATCTACGCATATCAAACAAAGCAAAACTCTAAACAGAAGTAATGGCTTCTTTAAAACACGTCCCATAGAGGTAATTTGTTTGGTTGTAGCCAGCATTCCTACTTGAGACCCAACAACTGGATGTAGCCGCACCTCAATGAGTGATATCGGTCCCACCAAGACTCGAACCTCATACCGATCGCTTCAAACTCCAAGGCGTAATCCGCTATGCCACGAAGGAACGATGGGAGCTTCTTATACAACGGGTAGTAGTTATTACTATTTATTGATATACTTGTAATTCTCCGTTGTTTTATTGAATCGAATTGTTTGACCTCTATTGGCATATGGGCTTTTATGGGGATGCCTCGACATTCCCTGGATGTTAATTAAGGTAATTTATTTGGTTGTGGCTAGCAAAAGAATCCAGGACACGCGTTACTCCATGGCATAGTGTTTAACGCCTTGGCGCGTGAAGTGACCGGTACGAGGTTTGAGTCTCAGTGGGAACAACACCACTCACTGAGGTGCTGATACATCTAACTGACGAGTCTCAAGTAGGACGAAACGCGCGTACTGGATTCTTCTGTTAACCACAACCAAACAAATTACTTTTATGGAACATGTTTAAAGAAGCCATTATTTCTGTTTAGAGTTTTGCTTTGAAAGATATGTGTAGATTCGTACACATAATTAGAGTTGTTATAAGAGGCGGGAGTGGGATACCTGTCGATTTTCGACTGTACTAGTGAACAAACTATTCGAAGTATGAGGACTAACGTAGCTGAAATAATACATAATAACTAGTGCGTTGTTTGATCTTCTGATAATTGTTTCAGCAATTTCATGTATCTTGAGTCAGTAAGTCGAACAATAGCAAAACAGTGCATAGCATTGCTGTTTAGCGATCAAAGTTGCCACATCTCACATCAGCATATCAAAGTAGAGGGTAGCGAGATGAAAGATAGAGAAATATAGTGAGCAAAAGGAGAGGAAGAGGAATGAATAAAACAGTAACAAAATTCCGTATGATGTTGTTACCTGTATTATCCCGTCGTTGAGCGGATACTATTGAAACTATACCCGTCGCACAAGAATTAGCTATCGTGACTCGGTGTAGTAAATAACGCTGTAGCGTTCGAAACGACCGGCGCCAAGTTCGAGTCCTAGTGGCGACAACATCTCTCACTGGGAGGTAGGCACACCCAGCCGACAGGTCCCAAATAGGACGAGACGCGCGTCCTGGATTCCACTGCTAGCCACTATCCATCATTGATATTCTATATGATGATTGAAACAAAGGCAATGTGTGGGTCCTTGTGCACCGCTGAGATCACCCTTAAAATCGAGGCCGAGAAAGGCTATCTTTTCTTCTTTGATTTTTTGCGGTGTTGTGTATTCAGTTCTATCATACTTATTAAATCTTGACGGATGGCCATTCTCTTCGAAGCATTTCTCAATTATCAACAGCTCATCTTCTAACTTATCAACTGGATATATTCATTTTATCGTATCTATCATTGCTCGTTTATAGCCGACTGAAGAGAAGCTGTTGAAATTCAAACAGAGACCAGTTCATGTAGACTTTCTGAAAAAAATCTGTAAAACATTTACTCTACATTGATTACTAATATCTAAAGGGTTGAATCTGTCACCAGTTTCATTTCAGGTTATGAAATGAATACACTTGTGTTCATTACTAAAGTATTTGAGCAAATAAGATGCATAGTGCAAAATGTCACGCATACTAATGTATCATTTACGTATCTGGGGTAAGATCTGGTTTCTCCGGTTAAAGATTTTCAAGTTTTTCGATTGTAAATGTCCCGTATATACATTCGTCAATACGGGGGTCTTAACAAGATACCCCCTTGTCAACTTTGTCACTTTGAAAGGGATGAAGATTGTACACGTTCTCAGGTGTCTCTTGTATGTAAGAAATATACAGCTGAGATAACATAGCTATGACTTATTACTCTTAACATAATAATCAATCAACAATCGAAAATCGCAAAACTCTGTTGGGTGTAATGTTTCATATCTGTCTGCTATTAGCAAGTCCCAAGAACTAAAAACGTAATATTCAGCTGAATAAAAATAGTTTGATAAACTGGTTTTAGATAGATAAGTCAACAGTTCTGTTACAAATATACACGATAAAAGTTACCAGTTGTGATATTTTCACAGTCACATGGAATATCCATAAAGGGACAACCAATTCAGTAAAACTCATACTAATAATAATAGTCAGTATGAACGTGTAGCAGTTCAAGTTATCATACCTCACTTCAACACATCAAAGGAAATGGCTAGAAAATAGAAGACGGAGATATAAACAATGCCTAGTTGTAGAAAGTCTTCAGATAATGAAAAGAAAAGGGATCAAACCAAATTACGAAGTGTAACACGACAATCGATTGTGGTGTAACCTCTTTGAGTAATAATTTATTTGTTATTGTTTGTCCTTTGGGTTCCTAGTGGAACATAGCGCTTCACCAGCACGCCTCCATTCCACTCTCTTCTATGCAGTCTTTTGAATCTGGCTCCACGATTGCTCGCAAGCTTTCATTTCTTACTCACACGATCTCCTTCATGTCACACTTGCCTCGGTCACCCATCTCGTCGTTTCCCCTTTGGGTTTCACTCGAGAGCCTGACCTGTTGCGTGATGTCCCCAATCGGTCTTCCCAGTGTATATCTTAAACAATCCAATCCATCTCCACTTTCTCCTACTCCATATTCGTTGAATGATAGGTTCTTGGTGGTTGGTTTGTTGCCAGCCAGCTAGCCAGAGTTCCTTGTTGTTTACTCTTATTATTATGGCCATCCAAACATCTTCATTATGGAGTGAGCATAGGTGGCAACCGTTGATGTGATATATGTCTGTAGTTTGTTGGAAATGCTTTTCGTGATGTGCCGCCAAGTCTCTCAACCATTACATAGAAGTACTGAGTTACTTGACTGACATTAGTGTTGAAAATGCGGATGTTGTTGATGCTTTATGCTGAGTTCAGTGTAGTAGATCTCCACAATGATTAATTTCATATTGATGAAGACCTATCTTGCTGTCTTTTTAATCCTGGCTTCGACATCCTCTTCTGTACCGCCTGTAGTCTCAGTAATAAAGTGGGACCATAAGTGACGATTTATGGCTTCACCAAAGTCACTTATCTCTTCTACCTAAAAATCTACACTAACTTCTGCATTACTAATAACAGTCATAATTAGAAGAAACAAGCAAAGGAAAGAAGTAATTTTGAGGCGAAGCAAACAATATGAAATTTCTGAAGATTTTTCCATGACTGTAAAGGAGATTGAGTATGAATTTATTGCTAATTTGATGAAATCCAATATTACTGAGTCTTAAACCATCCATTCAATTTGTCTAATAGACTTTAACAATGATGCATAGAAAACATTCGTCGAAACACAATGAATATCCTAGTCGAACTGTCTTTTTCATAATCTACTATTGTCATAACCTATATAGGATGTTCACTTAGTCAGTTTGTCAACATGGGTGATATATATGAAAATTACTTCAAGTGGTGAAGATTAAAAACTTCATAAATTGACTTATCTTTAACATTAAATAGCGTACACTTAGTCGTTATTGGATGGCTTCATCTCAATATTGACATTTAAATTATGTGTAAGTTTATACTATTTTCTATCTTTATATAAATCATATTTTATAGCTTTATAATAGAGCAAAGGGAATTGAACAATAGTATGTTTATCTCTGAGTAGATATTTAGATATCGTTTGTTCTAGAGTTGATATGAGGTGATAAAATCCATTGGAGAACCTATTGTATCAAACCTCTTACTTTCATGGTTTATAGTTAAAGCTTATAGAATAGGAAGGCAATGTACTACTCCCACTAAATATCTTTATTTAATATACAACTTTTTTAAAGTTAACAAACGATATATATATATATATATATATATATAAATATATATACTGTCTTCTAACTAATTTTTCGATTCGATTCAATGATACCCTGTACACACGCATATATATATACATATTGGATAGTCGAAGGAAAAATCTACGCAAAATTGGTGAAGGATGCTTTGGTGAAGTGTTTCGTTGTTTATCAGAGTACAATAAATCATCTAATGATAAATTAGATTATGTGGTCATCAAATTAATTCCAATTGAAGGTGATATTAAATTCAATGGAGAATCACAAAAATCATTCAATGAAGTACTTTCAGAAGTTATTGTATCAAAGTAAGCTTTAAATAATTAAATTTTTTTTTTCTCCACATACTTTTCATATTGTTTTATTCAGTAATTCATGTTCAATGTCCAAGAATCACTTGATTCAAAAAAAAATGAAACGTTTCTATCCAGAGAACTAAATCAATAATGTGTTTCATTGCTGAAAAAGTACTTAAGTTAAGGTGTACAGTATTCCGATTCATCTCTGTCAATTATCGACGTAGTAAAGTTTATCAAGTTATTTTAAGTTAAAACTCACTAACTGATATCTTAAAGTTGTACGCGTACAGGGTAACTTGTACAGTACGAAAAAGTTGAATACATTTCAGAATTGTAAAGAATGGTTTAAAATGTATTGTGAGTTTGACTCACTTGACCTGCGAACACTACTGAGATATCATTAAAAATGGTATCTATTTTACTATGGAGCCTCCGACAGTGTCGACCGAGAAGTAATTTGGCAGGCAGTTGCTTCAACACTACGGAGTGCCACAAATCTTTATCAATCTCATTCAACAGCTATATAAAGACGCTACATGCCAAGTAATCTACAATGGAAAGCTCTGTGGCACCATCGAAGTGAAGACAGGCGATATGAGTAAAACAAGCTCGCCGCCTACTATCCCCGATGATCTTACTTGATTGTGGTCGACTGAACTGGACTGGATCATGCAACAAACTGTGAGGAACCAGAAGATGGGGATACTCTGACTTGACTGATGAAAAGACCCCAGAAGAAGATTTGGATTTTGCCAATGACCTATGTCTAATGTTGCACGAACTCGAAGACCTACAGGTAAAAACCAACAAGTCGACAGAAGACGAGAGGCAACGAAGACGGGACTTCAAGTGAATGTAGAGAAGACGGAGGTTATGAAGATACCCAACGAACAACAACAAGCACCAATCACCCTGAGCTGGAGGAATCTAAAGGAAGCTGTCGCTTTCACCTATCTAGGCAGTATGGTTCCAACTACAGGCGGCATAGACACAGATGAGGATGTCAAAGCCAGGATCGGAAAAGCAAGACAGGCTTTCATTAATTTGAAATCAGTGTGGAGATCTTCTGCACTCAGCATAAAGCATGAACAACATCCGCATTTTCAACACTAATGTCAATCAAGTAAGGCAGTACTTCTATGTAATGGTTGAGAGACTTGGCGGCACATCACGAAAAGCATTTCCAACAAACTACAAACATATATCACATCAACGGTTGCCACCTATGCTCACTCCATACTGAAGATGTTTGGATGGCCATAATAATAAGAGTAAACAACAAGGATGGCTGGCTGGCTGGCAATGAACCAACCAGGAACCTAACGTTCAACAAATATGGAATAGAAGGAAGTGGAGATGGATTCGATTGTATTGGATATACACTGGGAAGACCGATTGGGGACATCACGCAACAGGTCAGACTCTCGAGTGGAAGCCAAAGGGGAAACGACGAGATGGGTGACCGAGGCAAGTGTGACATGAAGGAGATCGTGTGAGTAAGAAATGAAAGCTTGCGAGCAATCGTGGAGCCAGATTCAAAAGACTGCATAGAAGAGAGTGGAATGGAGGCGTGCTGGTGAAGCCCTATGTTCCACTATGAACCCAAGGGGCATAATAAAATAATTTTCAGTGTACAGTTAACTTTTGAAGTTTTTTAAGCCAATGGAAAATAGATTTGTGCTGTTAAAAAGGATTGTGCTCTCCCTTAGACATTGTCCCTAGTAATGATTATCATAACTTATTTTTCTGAACGCTTATAGCCCCTTAGTATTTACTTCTCATTATTGTTGCTTCAACCATTGTATGAATATATGTTTGGCACATAGTCTGGCTGTGTCAGTAGGTAGATAGATTGCACTAGAATCATCTCTATGGGAATAGAGTATGACATTCAGTTCCACTTTCAATTGTATACAACCAATATTGATAATAAGTGTAGTTTGTTATCTATCATATACACATACTATACTTTATCAATTTTAAACGAGCTAGAATAAACATAGTTCTCATCAATTGCTAACAGCACAGAATATTTACAATAAGAAATAGTAATAAAACATTAACCTTGAAATTTTTTTATTGTTAGTTGAAATGCACTCAACAACCTTGTGTATATCTATGTAATAGGCGATAAGGCACGCCTATTATATATATGAAGGCTAGTGATACGCTATCTGGTTGGCCAAACCTCGGTAGATGGTGTGGGGCTCAAACCCATGACCCATTGGTTTTTTAAAGTAATAATAATGATAATAATAATGACTTTATTCTGAAAGTTATTTCTAGGATATTCTACAGAATTTTCAGCATGTCATATACTATCAATTAGACAGAAATAGTGTCTATGTCTATTCATAATACATAAATAGTAACATTGTGTGTACTCATCAATTAGTTTGCTTTTGAAAAGAGAAGTTGATTAGTTAGTTCATTTCTAATACTTTCTTCATTGCACAGGAGACGAGCTAAATACAATATTTTAGAGTTATATATTTATTAGTATGTGTATAAAGTGTTATGTACTTGCTCCTTGTCTTTCCTGATGATTAGCACATAGAGAGCTTTGAGTGACGAGGATTCTGGTCATCTGATAAAATAACTCCGCCTAGATGCTTACGTGACTTAATATGTTCCTTCACAACAGTTTTAACTAGGAGGTTTAAAGGTACACCACTAGTTCTGGTGACAATCTTCAAACTTCTACATAATACAGCATAGTCTTCTATCAGCAATTCGGGAAAGAATAAAGGCGAACAACTGAGAAGTACAGGTAAGATGCAGGAGTTTATGAAACATAAGAGTAGAGGCTGAGTCACACCAGATACTCTCAACTTCCTAATATAGAAAGTTGGATGAAAAATTCTTTTGGAAATTAGTAAGATATGAGGGGACTAGGAAAGGTCCAAAGAAAAATACACTGAGATAAATCAAACTTGCAACATTCTCTTATGCACAACTATCAAGAGAATTAAGCAGTCTACATAGGTTATGTTCACATCTAAAACTAAAGTTTATAGTCTGATATTTGAAGAATTAAGCATAAGGCCATTCATTCACTGACGACTATCATCTAACAGTAGATAGGAAATCATTCACCTGAAAAAAAGACAGGTATAGAAACTGCCAGGTCATCAGCATATATGATGAAATCGATGCTAGCTGAAAATGGTAAGTCATGCAGAAAGAAAGAGAAGAGTATAGGGTAAAGGATCGCTCCTTGGGGGAATACCCGTCACGGTAAGCAATGAGGTGGAGCGCTTCTCTCTACGAACAGTATGTTGTTTCCTTTTAGAGAAATAGAAATACAGCCAGCTGATTATCCAGGACTCAGTATGAGTCCCGTGCACCTTATCTAGCAAAAGAAGCCTTGGGACAGAATCAAATGCTGAAGTATCGTCCAAAAATGCACACCTGACATACTTGGTTGATGGTTGAAAGTCATCTCCCTATACCAATGAACTACAGCTCCACAACAATTAATGTACTTTAGTTCACCGAAACTAGACAATGAAATAACGAGGTAAAGAAACTATAGGTATCAAAATCAAGTTAAAATGTCATGTGCTTTAAGGATTATCCTTATTTTAAAGAAAGTTCTCGTAAAAATTAGATGAGGAGAAGTGAGGGGGGACAGAAAAACGAATACTGTGTATAGTCCAATCCCTGACAGGGGCATAGGTATGCACTAATGAACAGTATCCTTAGTAGAACGAAACAACTATCCTGTGCTTCTAGTTTTTCAATAGTTCTTCCACTGATGAATACCAATCTAAAATACTATAGGATTTAGTACAAGAAATTATATCATTCATCAATCAGTAGGTAATTTAGCAGTGATCAGAACACGAAATGTAATAGAATATAAAGTTTACGATTCAGTAGATAAAGATTAAAGCTTACTGTGAACTGAAAGTTAAAAGAAGTCTATCGTCAATTTTCAACCTGCCTAGTAACCTACTTTTTTTAACCTTCCATTTATTTGATGACATAATTATCTCATCATTAGACTTTCAGTTCATACTAAACCTCAATCTTCTTCTATTGAGTTCTGTTCATTGACCTAATCAATTTCTTGTTGTCAACTGCACAATATTCGTTTTTCTGCCCCCTCCCTATCGTGCCCCACTTAAGTTTTACGAGAACTTTTGTTGTAACATCATTACATGCTATTTTGACTTTATTTCGATTCTTACAGTTTCTTTACTTCTCTATTTCGTTGTCGAGTTTTAATTGAATTCACTGGATTAAAATAGGTGAATATTTGATAGTGATTTATTATTATAAATATATTCTAGGCTGTAAGCAGCTGATGAGGACCGCCGAAATAATAGAATGCATCCAATATTTGTTCCTGTTGTTTTAAAGTATGAAAGAAGAAGAAGTATTTCGACGAAGAGTCTCTTTTCGTCGATTTCATTTTCACGGCTATACAACGGCAAACTTACACACTTTTTTAGTGTAAAGATTTAATAGTTTATCAGACATGGCAACACAGATAGCGTCAATAAATAAGCATCCGCATAGGAGCCCATATGCCAATAGAGGTCAAACAATGCAATCCAGTAAAACAAGTATATCAATAAATAGTAGTAACTACTACCCGTTGTACAAGAAGCTGCCATCGTTCCTTCGTGGCATAGTGGATAACGCCTTGGAGTTTGAAGCGATCGGTATGAGGTTCGAGTCTTGGTGGGACCAATATCACTCACTGAGGTGAGGATACATCCAGTTGTTGGCTCCCAAGTGGGGCGCAACGCACGTACTAGATTCCTCTGCTAGTCACGACCAACCAAATTACAATAAAATGAGCTACCATTAAAATCATCGGGAAAATAAAAAGACTGATGACTAGTGCTTGTTAATTAAGTTTGGACAAGAAGTTTCCGTAACACGGCGTTATAATTAGAAAGTGAATTGTGATCAGGCAGAGCATAGCAGATTACTTAAGAAGTAAAATACTGTCGAAATAGAAAAATGGGGGGTTGGAAACTAACACCGTGAGAGAAGAAGGGGTTGAACAATCTTCTTTTGCGGCATACAGTTCAGGTTTCTCCATATGGTTGGCAAGAGCTTCGGCGATGCAGAGAATACGAAAAAATACTGCGTTTAGAAGATTTCTTTTCACTTTATAGATGACTTTGAACGAAGAAGTTCTTGAGATAGAGTGATTCGTGTTTATGATGTGTTCCATTATAAACCTCCTTGTCGCTCCATTGTTAACTCTTTGTAACCACACAGGATAGTGTCCTTAAACTCTTTTGGATAACAGTCGCATCGAACGACCTATATATCTGACTGTACAAGAGGAAGTATCAAAAATAGGTTAATATATTTGAATTATGCAGTGTATATAATAACTATGGTCAGTATGATGATTGGAATACAGTAACAGTGTACACCTTTGTATCTCTTAAACACGAACCAAATCTGAAGTGAATGAAAATAGTAATGCTACTTTGTTATCTAAACTTGAACGGAGTAGAATTCTAACCTATAACCTATAGCTTATTAGTTCTTTGAACGCCTTGTCGAATGTTGATTAATATGAAGTTTGTATATGCGTAGAACTTGTGGACTATGGTTAGTGTGTAATAATTCTGTTTTTACATTGACACTTATCCGGGTAACCGGGAAGGAATTTATTGTAATTGTACGTGGGTTGAAGTTGAAAGGCATAGGAAGGAAAGAGAATGAACAAACATATACTCCGAATACATAAATTAGGTTTGAAAATTTCAATTGTTATGACTTATGCTATACTTAGCAATCGGTGACATACAAACCTGGAGTATTGTGATGGGAACTTGTAAATAATAGTGAATACCGAGGTTTTGTCAATCTTATGCTTAGTATCTACTATATGGACGAGTATTGAGCTATTGATAGATTTCATTGTTCCTTTGCCTGATCAAGTGGGACAGTGCTCAATGAAGCGATGGTGGGCTTGCTGAATCATTCTGCCTATGTAACTATCTCCACAGGAGCAGTTAAATTTATAAATGCACAAAGATGTGGTCAGATTCAGAGGCCTATCCTTGAACTGCATTGGCATCATACAGCGAGTAGTAGATTTTAAAGATAGTGCGGCGGGAAAGAAGATTTTTTATATCAGATTGCTGCAGCTGCATCTCCTTTGAACCCTAAGGTTAGATACAGTTGTTTCTTTAGCACCATTTGAAGGCGCTTTTTTCCAGCTATTTTCACTGTTACAGTCTTTGCGAACTTTCAGGATAGCTGTTATCATATCTGGAGTTCTCTATTATTCTTAGTTCATCGTTCAAAGTATCAACCGTGCAAATCTTACTGGTTGAAAATCTCAGTGTACGGACTAAATTTCTTTTGTACGTAAAAGGGATAAATGATCGCAAATATGTATACTGACTAACTCATGATTTCTTACGATAAATACTGCGTCCGTTCGTCTTGATAGTAAAACATCTAGAAATGGCAGACATACGTTTTTGCCTATTTCACATGTGAACTAGATTTCTGGATGAGCACTATCGAATATACCGAGAAGAATGTCAGGATTAGTATCATTTTTTGTTGTCACAGTATGTTTAAAATCTACTACTCGCTGTATGATGCCAATGCAGTTCAAGGATAGGCCTCTGAATCTGACCACATCTTTGTGCATTTATAAATTTAACTGCTCCTGTGAAGATAGTTACATAGGCAGAATGACTCAGCAAGCCCACCATCGCTCCCACTTGATCAGGCAAAGGAACAATGAAATCTATCAATAGCTCAATACTCGTCCATATAGTAGATACTAAGCATAAGATTGACAAAACCTCGGTATTCACTATTATTTACAAGTTCCCATCACAATACTCCAGGTTTGTATGTCACCGATTGCTAAGTATAGCATAAGTCATAACAATTGAAATTTTCAAACCTAATTTATGTATTCAGAGTATATGTTTGTTCATTCTCTTTCCCTCCTATGCATTTCAACTTCAACTCAGATACAATTACAATAATTCTGTTTTATTGTGTAAAATATCTAAGAAACAAATTAATATGGAACAAAATCATTTGATTTAATTCTCTTCACCACCCCTAACTATTATCATTCACTCTAATGAGTTTTTAGTTTTACAATAGTTATATATATATATGAACTATTCTTTTGAAATTTATAGAGAATTGACAGCTCTTGGTATGGGTTATGAAAATAACACAAATGGATTTGTTGAATTAAAAAAGTAAGTAGTTATGTAATTAATTTTTATAGAAAATTTATTTTTTACAATAATTCCACTCCTAAAATATTCCTAGTTAATATTGTTTATAGTAACCATTTACTGTAACCAACTTGTATACAAGACAGAGTGGATAGTATGCTTATTGAATTGTCTGTTATGAAAAGTTTCAGTTAGTGATGAATGTAAGGAACATAACTGTTATACTGGATTGTGATACATCATTCTCTTATGTTCCATTGAAGGTTAGTTGTAGTGTTATTTCACTTCTCATCATACAGCATACCTTTAATCATCTTTTATCTTCACTACTAAGTAATTGATAGCTACATCGATTACTATGTGTAATCAATTTGTTTACTCTGTCTAGTTCTTCATACAGTCAATGATAGTTTGTATAATTTATTGTTAATGAAGTCTCTGACCACAGGATTGTTATAATTTAGAAATTCTATATACTATGCACTATGGCTGCTAACGATGCACAAATTACCGAGTGTCAACCACAAACATTCAACAAGTTCCTCGACTAATTAGTGGAGAAGACATGAGGGATGTGTAGAAATAGGTATTGGGGTCGAAAGACCAAAGAGCCCAAAAACAAATGAAAATATAGCTAATATATCGATACTTGGCTGTTTTAAATAATCCTATTCATTGGCTGATGCACCGTGTCTGTCTAAATGTAGATGATAGCGTAAAGTATATTTTGGTTGGTCCCTCTCTAGACTAGTCTTTTCTCTCGATCTCAGTATCACCTCCCCATTTGCATCTATCCGACCGACGTAGTGGGAATTTCATCTTGTTTACTGGAAGATTAGTAGTCTTTTCGATATTCTTTCGACGGGCAGGTACATGAGTATGGAAATCAGCTATCAAGCCAAGAGGTTTACCTACCGATCGAGAATGGGATCTGCTGCGATATCTGGGGGCAGATCTTTGTACACGTCACTGTATGTATTGGCAGCAAAAGTCATTTTATGACCCCCAGCATTACGGTCCTATCATCACTGTTGTTTATGTGGAAGAGATTTGATGAAATGCCAGCAAGGTGATAGAGGTGTCTTCTTCGAGGGTCAGTTGGCATCGCATAAGTTACTGGACCGATGAATCGACGAGATGTTTGGCCAGAGGGTGATGCGGAGGAATGAGATGTCTGCTAAACTGTATGTACTTCAGAATCACCATGGCGTCCGGATTGGACTAAACTTATGTTACTCTGCAGGCTACCCAGTCGTTGATATTCTGCAGACATGTCATTCAGTATCTGGACTGTGCGATCACTTGGGTCCTGCACCGAAATCATGTTGCAGTATTAGTCTAACTCAGGTGGACCAAACTTTCGAAGTAGTAGACTTACCTTTCAGGAATCATCTTGGCCAGCAGAATCCACTTTAAAGTAGTCTTCTTAACGCCTGAACCAAATACCAGAGATTCCATTGGCATCAGGATCGTAATAAAATTCAGTGACACTATTGGCGATGCCATCAACTGAAGGATTTATCAAAACTGGCATATTAGGCAATGATTCAGTAACAGAAATTTTGGATTGCGTTATGATCTCGATAATCCTCATTTGTTGTTCAGAGAAATTGTCCAACTTCGAAGAGTTTATTTCCCAATATCATATTCATGTCGCCACTTTTGATTTGGAAAAATGCGTGTATTCAAATCTCTAATTGAATGTGATTTTCTTCAACGTTGCATATGCAGTCTAGAATGAAACAGGATTTCTTACTGAATGACTTCTAGCATGAAACGGATCAATGGTTCAAATGTGACCCAATTTCTCATTGTTTTCTTATTTAAAATATTCTATTCAAACTGTGTTAAATAAGGAGTGAACAGTAGGTTTTCAGGTAAATATCTGACAGTTTTACGATGAACACAACTCAGACATCTCCATTCAGTAAGGGATTTACAATTATATTTATCGACTAATGCTTTTCACCTTTTATCTTTAAGTTTATCGGGTCTTAGCATGATGAGAACTATGTACTCATAACTTTATTTTCGCTAGGTATCACTCAAAAGAGTTCTCTCGTGTAGCTTCTGGATAGATTTGTGCTTTACATCATCTACAATGGAAACAGCTGACTGAATATACACCTTCAAACTCATCTGTTACCGTACTGAGATTTGATGACAAAATATCACTTGTACTATTGTTTACTTTTCAAGAAACACCTCCTTTCTCTGCTGTGTTGTGTATTATACCCCTTGATCTGTATGAGTATGCACATCATCAATCATATCTTTGTGTATGTTCTAAACGGTTTCATCTTTTTAGTTTGTGCTCGATCGACTCACAATAATGTTTATGAAATACACAGAAGCTTTTGGAGTATATCATATGTATGCACTTACGTATTCACAGAATCTACTAAACCGTATACAGTAGACGAATAGAATCGCTTCTGGTGATTAGAGATATTCAACTATTTAGTTTGATCTAATGTTCTATCATGACAATAAGTCACCAAATTAGTGATACTCCAACTGTTCTCATCCAGGTAGAAAGATGTGTTAACTTCTGATGTACCGTTAGTAGATTATACTTTGCCGTCGGAAGACAAGCAGAGGCATGGTTACTTTCGTCCCTTGTCGATTATGTTTAAGGTGTTGGTGATTTAGAGAGCAATTTTTTAAAGTAAAGCTTCCATTTGTATTGTTGTTGTTTGTCTCTTGGGTTTCTAGTGGAACGAAGAGCTTCAGTAGCACGTCTCCATTCCACTCTGTTCTCTGCAATCTTTTGAACCTGGCTCCACGACAACCCACAAGTTCTCATTTCTTCTTCACACAATCTCCTCCATGTCACCCTCGGATAACCAACTCGTCGTTTCCCATCTGGGTTCCACTTGAGTGCCAGGCACGTGATGTCCCCGAATGGTCTTCTCAGTGCATGTCCAATCAACCTCCACTTCCTTCTGTATATTTGTTGGGCGATAAGTTATTGGTTGGTTCGTTACCAGCCAGCCAGAGTTCCTTGTTGCTTATTTTTATTATTCTGGCCATCTGAGCTTCAGTGTCGAGCCAGCGTAGGCAGCAGCTGTTGATGAATGTTTGTAGTTTGTTGGAAGTGCTTTTCGTGACGCGCCAAGTCTCTGAACCATCACATGGAAGCACTGACTTGACTGAGATTTGTTTTGAAAATCCTGATCTTGTTCACACTTTGTGCTGAGTGGAGTGCAGAAGATCTCCATACTGGTTTCAACTTGATAAACTCCTGTTTTGCTGTCTTTCGGATCCTGACTGGGTTTGACGTCGTCGTGTGTGCCACCGCCACCTGTAGTTGAAAGTATACTGCCTAGACAGGTGAAAGAAGCTACTTCCTTAAGTTTCTCCCACTGATGGTGATTGGAGCTTGTTGTTGTTGGTGGTGGTGGCGTTGGTTGGGTATCATCATCATCATCATCATCTGTGTCTTCTCTACGTTGACTTGAAGTCCCGTCTTCTCTGCCTCGCCTCTTCTGTCAACTTGTTAGTTTTCGCCTTTAGATCTTCGAGTTTGTGTAACAAGACATTAGACGTAAGTCATCATGGGCGAAATCCAAATCTTGTAGGATGTTTTCCCTGGTCCAGTGTATGCCCCTCTTCTCGCTCCTCACAGTTTGTTTCATGATCCGGTCTACCACAATCAGAAATATCATCGGCGATAGTAGGCGGCAGCCTTGTTTTACTCCTGTCTTCACTTCAAAGGCATCACTGAGCTTTCCCTTGTGGATCACTTGGCATGTGGCGTCTTCATAGAGGTGTTCGATGAAGTTGATAAAGACTAGTGGCACTCCGTAGTGTTGAAGCAACTGCCAAATTACTTCTCGGTTGACGCTGTTGAAGGCCTTTTCAAAGTCGATGAAGTTGAGCTATTGTATTGCTGTCTTCTATTTGTTTATGGACTTCAAGTTGGTGTTCATCATGGACTGACATCAGTTGGAGGAAAGTTGGAAAATTGGGAGCACTGGATAGCTGTTCTGTCCTAGTATGGGACTCCTCAACAGTGTGCACGCATGACTCCGCCTCGCTAGGGTTTGACCCAGGACCTTCCGTGGCTAGCACATTACCGTTGAGCCACAGGTTTGGATTAATCTAGTGCTCATTGGTGACTAGCTTCCAGAGGTGATTCCTGAAGTGCCAGTGGGAAATCGTGTCTGGTAAGGCAGACCTGGTGGACGTGAGGACGAATTCGCAACAATGACATTAGGTGATGGTCGTGCTATGTTGCGAACTGACAGAAGTTGAAAGTATGGACCATTGAATTCCTACCCAGTGACTCAATGGTAATATGCTCTGCACGGAAACTTAAGGTCCTGGGTTCAATCTTTGATGGTATGGGGTCATAGGTACGCACTGCAGAGGAGTCTCATACTAGGACGAGACGGCTGTCCAGTGCTTTAAGGTTCCCAACGTTCTTCCAACTCATAACAGTCCATGATGAATACCAACTTGAAATCAATAAATCCCCACAAACCCCCAAATTGTATTTGTTTATAGTTTCAAGCTATCAGGATTCCCAACTGCATAAGTTTATCAGTGCATGGAACGCACTTCTAATAGTTAGACGTTTGAATTCGATTCTTAGTTGACTATATTTCGTAATATGCGTAATATTCTTACCTATTCATTATCTTTTATTGATTCCGATACTGTTGGCTTAGTTTCAACCGTTCTTTTATCGATTTTTGTGTTTGCCTATCACTATTGATCAATAAGCATTCCTGTCTTTCTAACGAAACATTTATGTAGCAAAATGATAATCAAAGGTGAAAGGACAATATGAGTTGTAGCAGTGTTATAGTCAATGATCTCCAGGTTACTTCACTGGTGCTCTACTGACTCAGTTACTGGTCAAGTTTTAGCTCCACTTGAAACACTGATGGATTGATAGGATTTTTATGTGTCAGTCAGTGATGCATAATTGTCCTTTCATCATCATTACTCTAGCTGTCTAGTTAGATCCCCTTATATTAACCTCAAATAGAGTTGAATTAGAAAGGGGAGAGAGTAACGAATCAAGTGTCAAGGCAACTATTGGGAGTTATGTGTGTTTTTTCACTAACTATAAAATTTTTTTTTTCAGAGTTCATCTCATACAAGGTTCATTTCCTACATACTTAACTAAAGCATGGGAAAAGTATGATAAAGAGAAAGGATCAGAAAATGATAATCCCCGTATGTAAATTATATGTATTTACGATAGTAGTGCTTTGTGTGTGTGTGTGTGTGTTTCAGTGTATATTCCTGGTTAGATGCTTGATTGCATTTTATGCTGTGTATGTGAATCACATATAAATAGTTTAAAACTCTCCCTTTAAGGGAGTATGTACGATTAATCTAATAGTATATGAGATAAGTATATTTCCCTCCTTTATTTGAAACTATCATCATCATCATTATCAACATAGGACCAGGCATTACTGCGTAACGATCCGAGTTGCCACAGCTCATATGACTACATCAAGTAGAAAGGTGGTGAGATGAAAGATGAAGGTAAGAAAATTCACTCAAAAAAAATACAAAGTACGAGAAGAAAGAAAGGAAGAATGACAAAGTGATGAGAATCGGTATAGTGTTAAGATGAGGATAATGTATGTGTATACATCTGCGCCACTGACATCGGTTCTGAGCCATATCCTCTAGAGTCTTCAGCCACTGGTTCCTCTTGTCCTGTGGACCCCAACCACCTAATCTGCATCACCCTACATGGCTTAAATAAACAGTCAGAGACTTCATACATTGGTGCCATGTTAGTTTGGCCACCTTGGGCCTTTTTCCAGCCTGGACCCACCTCAGCCAACATTGTGTGACGAGGCAATCGGTGACTAGGCATACGTAGTACGTGTCCCAACCATCTCAGTCGATGAAGGTTCACAACCTCGTCAACTGACTTACCTCTTCTCCCCAAAACTCTACACCTAACTTCTGCATTACTCATGTGGTGACACCATGGAACACGTCCTATACGACGAAGGCAACGGTGGTTAAACACCTGAAGCCTTTTTGTATCCTCCACTTTCAATGGCCATGTTTCACAGCCATACAGTAGAACAGAGCGGACTGCTGTGCAGTACACGCGACCCTTAATAGACAAACGAATATCACGGCGGCGCCATAGGTGGTGCAAATTGGCAAAAGCCAATCGAGCCTTTTGTATCCGAGCAGAAATCTCATCAGCAACTAACCAATGCACCAGGGTTGATCCTACCTTTCAGGTAAGTGAAGTGGTCAACACACTCAACCACTTCACTCTCTATTGTTAACCGCGGTTACCGCTGAAGACCAATCCTGGAGCAGAAATTTGCATTTGGGTGGTGAAAATCGCATCCCAAACATTCTCAAATTCCCACTCAAAGTGTTCAGAAGACTCTGCATCTTGTCAGCGTCTTCACCTAACAGGACTATGTCATTCATCTGCATATTCTAGATCTAAAGAAAATTCACCTGTGATTGGGTCAACGTTTGTGTAATTAGGTGAGGAGAGGGAAACCTCCATAAGAATATCTATGATAAAATTAAATAAGAATGGGGATAGTCGGCATCCTTGACGGACACCACTTGATGAGTATAGCTCCTGGACAACTCGCCATAGGCCCTAACATGGTGAGTTGTCCAGGGAGCTATACTCATCAAGTGGTGTCCGTCAAGGATGCCGACTATCCCCATTCTTATTTAATTTTAACATAGATATTCTTATGGAGGTTTCCCTCTCCTCACCTAATTACACAGACGTTGACGCAATCACAAGTGAATTTTCTTTAGAAAGTTTTTATTCAGATGGGCTAGGACAAATGTATTCAATCCATGGTTTAACTTCAAATTTGTGAATACCTTTTCATTCTGAATTGATATATCTCTGTTGGTATAATGCTATCCTTGTATGAATACCTCCATACTACATGTAATATAATCCTAATTATTATTCAGGAGCAGCTGACAGTTATGAGGCCAGTCGATACTTCTTGGTTACTCACACTATGGAAGGCTAATTCCTCTTGACGTACCTGTTAAAGAAGGGTTACTACGTGACCACAGAGTCCAAGAAACATCTACTTGATATCTGGTCACACACGACGTTTTTAAGAAGTTTGAGATTTAAGTTTATTAGTTTCGACTCCGACCATGAACCTATATTGCGGGTACCAGTGGTGTAGGGGAGAGTGTGCTGTTTTTGGAGCCAACCTTTCCTAACTGTTCTTCCCACCTGCAGCCACAGAACTACCAGTGAACACAGGCCCTCCGACAAAAGCAGAAGTCCTGAACGCCACAAAGCTACTGAAATGCGGGAAAGCAGCAGGAACAGGTGAAATCCCGCCAGAAACACTGAATATGGACGCAGAAACAACAGCGGACATGCTCACACCACTACTGCCTACAGCCTCAAAATAACTTACGTGGCTGTTTTTCTCACTGTTACTAGTTTTCTTTCCGTCTGCTTTCAAGGTTGAACTCTCATTGGTTGTTAGTGAATTTAGTGTTGTGAATTATTATTTATTTATATTTACCCTTGGGTTCTTAGTGGAAGACAGGATTTGAGTAGGAAGTTGCCACTTGACTCTCTTCTCTGCAGTGTTTTTAATCTGCCTCTACCACTTCCCAGAAGCTTTCATCTCTTCCTCACACCATCTTGTCGATGTCACCCTCGCTTCAGACACCGAATTCATGTCTTTCTGTTTTGGTTGCACTCGACGGCGTGGCGTGGCGTGGCGTGGCGTGACGTGTGATGTCCCCAAACCGTCTTCCTTCACACTGTATGTCCAATCCATCTCCACTTTCTTGTACTGCATATTTGTTTGACGATAGGTTCTTGGTCGGTTGGTTGGTTACCAGCCAGCCAACCAGAGTTCCTTGTTGGTTATTATTATTATTATGGCCATCTGAACATCTTCAGTATGGAGTGAGGGTAGGTGGCAACCGTTGATGTGATGTATATCTGTAGTTTGTTGGAAATGCTTTTGGTAACACTCTGCCAAGTCTCTGAACCATTACATAGAAGTATGAGTTAGTTGACTGACAATAGTGTTGAAAATCTGGATTGTTGTTCAGGGTTTTTGCTGAATGCAATGAAGTGGAGTGTAGTAGATCTCCACACTGAGTGCGTATTAAAGGTGGTTTGTGATTCCGATTAGTCTCTTTTTGGAATTAGACTTTCCTACTGAACTAGACATATGAGACTACCGAACTGTTACTTTGAGACACTAGGTTGGTCACCAACATCAGTGACTTATATTCTTCAACATAGTACAAAGAAAGAATAATGTACAAAGTATTACAAAGTACGCTGATTAGGTGGATGTTACACCACGTATAACCGGTGTGAGTATATTTATAGGTCAGAGACATGCAAAACTAACATAGAACCTCTACAGCAAGCGCATCACCTGAAGTTATTACACTCCCATAATGGCGTGCAAAGAACATGTGGGTAGAGAAATCATGATGAAAAAGTAGACAAAAGTGAACGATAAACTGGGTTCAAGGGAAACCAGAAGGAATACGCATATCCCATGATATAGTAAAGACACGAGATAACTGTTGAAGGTAAAATAGAACATCAGGGAATAAGCAAAGGAACCCTAACACTGTCATAAACCGGTATGGTTCCCAATATCTTGGGGTGTTATGTGATGAACAAGATAAAACTGAATAGAATGGACAGTCATGTTGTGGATGGGCTAACATTTTAGCCACACAGTTATACTACTTAGTAATACCACGTAGTATGAAAGTGAAGGCATAAAAAAAGGAAACAAGGGTAGTATCTCGCGGAGTAAACTAGAAAATGTGAGAAAGGAGTTTGGTTTCATTTCATGGACAGCGTATTAGACAATGTCTCTCCGTATGTCTAAAATGAATGCTAGGCAGAAACAAGAGACTCCCAGAATAAAATTCCAAGAGACGATCATTGGCATGTGATTCCGTTGATGCCCTCTTTCAATATGCTTTCCCACTTAAGCGTTACATCTTCACGTTTAGCTTTCTGTAGTGAAATTGACAGTACCTCATAGGATGCATGCTTCACATCATCCAAAATACAGTCGATTGGTGCGCAGGTGGCGATTATGAATAGGCATTGGTTGGTCTCGAAATCCTTCCTACTTCTTAGAGATTCATTCAGTCGAACTGCACACAGACGGCTGTTGACTGGTATCCAGTTGAGAAGTACACTTCTGCTTTTCGATTCAATGCCACGCTTACACCAGCGAGTTCACAAGAGCTGCATACTTATGAGGAAACATTTTAAGATCCTAGGGATTGGTTAAGTGAAGTCGAATTAGTGACCATACTCGGGTCCTGTATACGTGTCTTAGAGACAGCATACATGACCTGATAATCCAGAGTTCTGGTGAGCGGTACCTGATGTCCTATGGGGCGTTGAAGAATGCAATGTGACTGCTTGTATTGAAGTAAGGGGATGGGAGCATTCGTATATGCTTTCCGGTTGTTAGGATTCCATTGCTCACATTGTTGACTTCATAGTTCTATGTTTGTGTATTATTTCGATATCTACTTCAACAAGTTTCTTCGAAGTTACCAGTAGTATGTTGTAGCTAAATGTTGTATATATATATTTTCGCTATTGTGGATAGTTAGAGACTCCAAGATCTGGAATGTATGATTGGCATTTATCCAGTATCCTCGATGCACTAAGTGGATGTACCTCGCCAGCAAACCTGAATTGAAAACTTTCTGGTGAATAATCAGAAATGGTAGTGTACCTAAACATCGAGTCATTTAGTTTCTATATGTTTGCGTTTATTGCCTGATCAATGAAATTCACCAAACTCTGTTAAACATAGTAGTTTTCTTTTGCTTTATTTCGGGTTTATTCAAAATAATTTAGTGTTCTTCGTCATATTTCCTTTGTTATTTAGGTAAGTTCGGTAGAAATCAATTGTGGGTCGCCTTAGAATCTGCATTTTGTGGAGTTACTCTCGAGAATAATATTGTAAGTACTTAATTAGAGAGATGAATTGAATTGTCTCTCCAATTAATAGTTTACTATACTACTGAGCAGGCCTTGATGTGTATCATTGTGAATACTTTTCACACTCACCTTACTTCTACCCTATTCTATCCACAGGAGTGTTAACTGTGTAGTGAGGAGTTTATTCATCCAGGTTCAATCACTAGGCGTTATACAACGTATCCGATGTACGATAAAACGTATAGGGATATAGTTGTGATAATAATCATGAAAAGTTCCAAAAGTAGAATATTACAACTACGCACTACCCCTTGGTTTTTATTTCTTTATCTAAGGTCCATTCTTGACGAAAACTTCATCGAAAGTGATCGATTGCACACAAACCTTACAAATGGCTGAAACTGGACTGTTGGTTCTAGTTGAGGTTTATGTGACAATTAAAATTGTTGGTTGGATACTGTAAGTGATGTGGCTCACAATCGATGTCAGTGGCACCGATGTATTCACATATCATCTTTATCTTAACCGCTATACTGAATTTTTATGACATTCTACCATGTTTGATGACTTTCTTTCTTAAATCTCTATTTCTCATCTTGGTGCATTCACTAGTGATCTATGTTAACTTGGATGATAGCTCAGTAATACGCAGGTCCCGTTAGATTTAGACTAACAAAGTATCCTTATTTAGTGTTGTAGACTGTATCGGTTTGAATCTGTTTTCTTGTCTGCTTGTAATGTGTTTTTTTTCTATGCATCACAAAAGTCTACCATGTCAACTCATTAACATCTCATATTTTCCCATTCAAATTGTGAAGGTTTTGAATTGCAAGGCATAATTTTTAATACTTTATAAGGTTCGTAATATAGACCATATATAAATAATTTGATGTGTATGGATTTGTTTTAATTGTATTCCACAGCCTACTTGTCCTTGTGCTCGAATATCTTTATTGTTACAAGTTGGATTGTCATTGGCTGTAGCCGAATTGGAACTGAAATTTGAGCATAGAGATCTTCATTGGGGCAATGTTTTAATTAGTCAGTCTTTATTATCTACTACATCTACATTGTCATCTTCTTCTTCATCAATCCTTGATAATTCAATAGAAAATTCGTGTAAATATTGTTCTTCTTTGGAAAAAGGTGATGCTTGCAAAGAAGAATACAATAAATTTGTAAAATTTCGTTTAAACGGTAAAGAGTTTAAAGTGGCAAAATTCGGAGTGACTGTATATCTAATAGACTTTACAATGTCTCGTTTAGAACAAGGTAAGCTTTTAAAAAAAGGCAACTTTATAAAGCAAAACATCCCAGTTGCTTTATTTTCATTTATTTGTTTGTTCAATGCATGAGAATACTTTTAAAGTATATGTATAGAATAGTAGAAGTGTACAATTGCTTTTGTTTCATATTGCCTGATGAAGTAGCTGGAACGGACAATGAAACAGTATCATTTAATGGATCACGTTTTGGACAGAATTTATTGTCCATATTCATATCAGGCAACTCCACAACTTTGAGATACAGTTTATATAGTCATAAGGATAGTAGAAGTTTCCATATATATATCTGTGATAGGTGCAGAATCATTTTACTGTGTGATGAGTGAAGGTGAATTGAAAATTTGAACCAGGGACAGCTGGGTTTGCAGCTCGATGCCCTAGCGACCACCAGAAACTCGGTGGTCACTGGTTCGAATCTGGCCGGGGTCCAAATTTTCATTTCACCTTCAATCATCACTCATTATAAATACTAGTCTACCAAACTACGGCTATCTCAGTCAGTCGAATGAGAATTGTTTCTATTGCTGCATATATTTGGTGTTGATTCGATAAACAAGGATTCGGTAATGAATCTCTCCTTCCATCCAGCTAAGTTTTTAACGCCGTCATTCTATCCTACCCTAATATGTGATTATGTGCAGAGCTATAGCCGAGCTTTTCTTCGAATTTCTGATCTTATTAGGATTTCCTAATCTTGATTTAGCTAAGTTTTGATGCTCGGTTATTCTAATCGACCCTGATCCAACTACTTTGACCTCTCAATCGTTGCAAGGGATTCGGTAAACCAGATTATTTTGTTTAAGTGTATCAATAGGATCTTCTAACCTACAAAGCTTGTTTCTAAGTGAGTTTGTTGTAGATCTTAATGAGAGAAGAAATTTAGAAAAAATCTCGGCCTCAGCCCTGGACGCAATTACACACTAGGGTGGGGGATAGAACGATACCGTTAAAAACTAACTTGAGTGGAGGGGAGGAGAGATTGATAACCAAATCTTTGTTTATCGAATTAACAATAAATACATTCAATGGAAATAATTCTACACCTGTCACAGATATATGGAAAATTCTACTATCCCTGTCGTCACAGAAAAGGAGAAAAAATTACGACCACATTAACTTTGTCTCAAGGTTTTGGAGTTACCTGATATGAGTATGGAGAATAAATTGTGTCCGAAACGTGATGTAGTAAATGATACTATCTCATAGTGTGACATTTATAATAAACAGACTAAAATGGAATTAGAATCTACCACAGTGCCTAAGTTTTACTGTCTCCATCTACTTTTGCCTCAACCTGTTAATATCATAAGCCGTAGAGTGACAATTATAACTCATAGTGTAGTACCTTGATGTTACTATTATTACTATTAGAACACATATAACGTACAACATGGACACCAGGAGATGCATGTAATCTGGCAAAATAAGAAGATACACAAAATGGAAGGAGAAAAGAGGCAAGAAAGTTGGACTGTTAAAGAAGTAGTTTCAGGGATACTTTTAAAAAAGCATTCACTACTTTCGTTTTACTACTTGATAATAGAAAAAGCAAGAATAGTCATCACTGGTTTCGATTCTCAATCGTTTTTCGTATCATCTCAAGCCAGCGAGCAGTATGGTCTCGAACTGCGTATAGAGAATCGAGGTATCCATGGGTACTTACCTCTGGCAACTATCCTTCATCCCGCTACGACGTATTATTGACTTGTTACTTCCGCTTGCAAACAGTCTCAAGGAAAGCGAACAATGAGCTGTTGGTATGACATGCGTAACATATGTCCAAGCCCCTAGAGGCGGTGTTTCAGGATGAACATACTCAATAAGTGGCAATCTCCATCACGTCTGAATGTATGCCATGTCATTCGAGAATTAATTAAATAGTGTTTCCACCGGATGCGAACAGTTTCGCGGAGACAACGGGGATAAGAATCGTAGAGTCGATGAACATTTTCAGCTTAGAGAGTCCCAGTTTCATAGGCTTCAAGGATAATAGGAGTCACTCTTAACAGCGCCTGGTCTGAGATCAGTCAGGGCAAGGTCAAGGTTGATGTGAAGAAATCGTGTCTCTTGTCAGTTAATCTGCTTCAGTCGAATTTTCTAGTCTATCAGCATACAAACAACTGTTGGTGGGGGTCCAGTCGACTAATACAACTTCAACGCTGAGGCTTTTTACGATGCCTACACCAAGGTCGGCTGCTGATACCGCAGGGTCACCGGACGAACGTACTATGAATATACTTTTTGAGCTGAAAAAAATGCGGAGGTTATTCAAAGCACACAATTGGAATCGTATATGGCGTTCTCAACGATATAACTCATCGATGGCGAGACTTTCCAGAGTCCTAATCAAATCTATGCATTGTCGGATCTGTACTAAAATGGAATATTGAAGGCAGTCAGCTTAAAATGTATGCGCGGTTTCGGAACGGGTATATCACGCATCTCACTGAAGAACTGGTTTCTTGGAGTAACTCCTTATTGACTCGAAACTATATCGGCAACTCGGGATTTAACTTAATAATATGCAGCTTTGTGAGAAAAAAAAGATATACATGAATATAAATTTGTAAATGACATCGAAAAGACAGCATAGTTTACAAGTGGGAATAACGATTGTATAAAGAGCTAACGGTTAGTTACACCATGAATTTTGATTTATACTGGAAGATCCAATGAACGCTTAGTAGTCTTCTTTGTTAATGTTGGCTGATATACTGTACCTAGACAACTGTTACTGGATTGAGCTGCATTTCAGTAGAGAAAACAAATCTACGCCTGATCTGAGTTGTTTATTTTGTTCTTAGTTGGTATACTCCACTTCAGCACAGCTAGTTAAGTTGGTAATCAGAAATGACAACAATGATATCGATGTTGGTAAAGAACTGGACAATGTTCTTGAAAAGGAAGTTCACACTTATATTGAAGGATGTTGAATGATACTATGTTCAATACTTCGTTAAAAATAAATTTGTGCATACAGTTACGCAACTGGCATGGGTTTTGAGTGATTTCATCAAAACTCTTCAATTATCAATCTCTATAGTCTCTAAGATATCAATAGGGAAACCTACTGTTTTCTTCCCAATTCAAATCAACCACCAGGGACTCCATGTACTGTCACTTTATTTTCGTCTAAATTCATTTACCTTAGGACATTGTTGTAGGTTTGTGTCAAGACACGCATTATATGTGGCCTAATCAACCCTTCTAGTTAAACTTGATCGTCTCATCTCTTCATTCATTTCTGTTATGTAGTACTCTGCACCAGATATCAGCATTGTTGTGATACTTGTAATTTCCTGTTGCTATACAGGGCCGAATCGCTTGACCTACTGGGTTCAAGCCTCAGTGGGAACAATATCACTTACTGATATCCAAGTACGTCCAGCCGATGAGTCCTGGATAGGACAAAACGCGCGTCTTGCATTCCTCTGCTAATCACCAAGACCAATATAACAAGATATCAGCATTGTTTATTTTAAAACGATTCTAAGACATACAGCTGAGATTTCAAAGGCATCAACATCTGTAGCCTTGGCTAATTTCTCTTCAGACTTCAAAGGTCAAATTTTGAAGATATATTCTGAAAATGAATAGTGTACACTAATCTCTTCATGAGCACTCGACCATCTGGTCAGTTGTCAGCGACACACCCTTGGTGACTACACATCCAGTCATTATGATTTGGATTTATCGGTGAAAATGATCAATAGTATAAAAAATATCCACCATCTATGGGTTGTTGTTATTGGTATCAATGTGCTCAGATTGAGTAGAACATCTATTTACTACACCTTAGCTTTTATTGGGATTAAAGCTGATTGTCAACAAATTTTTTTTCGTGTGCGTCAGATTTATATGGATTGATATGCTGGTCACTGACTGTGGTTCATTGGTTTAGTGAGATAAATACCAATCATTGCATCACGGGTTCGAATCCCTCTCCACCTACCGAGGTTTTAGTAGCCAGGTAGTATCACTAGCCCTGACACACTGGGTGTAGCTCACTGCCTTCTGTACGAATGGAGACCAAGTTGCTAAGTGCATCAGTCATCAGATCACCATTGACCTAACCTTTCAATTTGTAAACAGTGTCTCTTGAGTCCCATGTCCCACACACCTACGTAGGTAGTCAGATGGTATTATAGGCTGTCACACAATAGATATGGCCTACAGCCCATATTAACACATACCCAAACGTCAGTAGGTGGAGAGGAGGTTAAACTCATTGACCTAATAGTTAATTGTCATCTCCTTAAACCACTAAGCGACATAATGGTTAAGAAAGGTATGCAGTTACTAAAAAAAATCTAGACCTGTCCATATGTTAACAATCAACAACATAATTACATTGGTAACCTATTCTGAAAGCAAATGAATTTTATTGTACTTGTGTGGTTAGATAACATCCCAACCATTTGTTCTTCAAGATAAGTAACTTGTATTTTTGTTTTTTAAATATATACGTATAATAGTTTATACATTTGGCCACAAATAACCCTTGTCATAGATATCATTGTGACAATCAAATATTAGTTTTATGAAAACAGGATGCCTTGGATCTAGGATTTAGTGCTTTTGACACTCCTTAGCAATCCCGCCTGGGATTGGAAGCTGAATAGATTAGTGGTGTAATGTCTCTGAGTGCTGCCACTGGGTCATATGGATTCTAATCTTAGGTGAGATATCATTTCCCTCAAGGTTGAAGATATATACCTTGATGATGAATACTAGAAAGCACTCAGCCTAGACCAAAAAGGGTTTGCTGTCGATCTCCTCTATCGAACTAACACCTATGAAAGTGTATTGTGATGATGAGTCGCCTAGTCTGGTGACTGTATTGCAAAATGATCGGTAGAATTCGATTAACTAGACGATATGAAGGTGGTTAGACTCCAATTGTGATAAATGGTTAAGTCAATTATTAGTTTGTTCGGATTAATCAATTTCAGTATAGTTTACATCACCGACTGATATTATAATCAGTTAGAGAAGAATTGGAAAAAAAGATTGTGAACACTCTTTAGAAGAATTCAGACGAAATACTCTAAAATGGTGTTAATACATGTTTAAAATTTGCTTGAAAAACAGTTAACTTTTAAAATACACACATGTGTTAGTGTACACATCTTCCCCTGTGTAATACACCGAATAATCTTTTTTTTTCTGCTTCTATAATTTCAGACAATGGTTTAGTGTATGTCGATTTAAGCTGTGATCCAACGTTGTTTCAATCAAAAGGTGACTATCAATTTGATATATATCGTTTTATGAGATCTGAAAATCGGTAAGTTATCGATAAAGTTCCCTTTTAATTTATCAGTATATAAAATTGCTTAAAGTTACTATAAAATCTGAAAATGAATCTCATTGACCAAAAACTACACTTTAAAATTGATTTATTACAATATTTTTTGTGACTTTTTCAAGTAAATTATTTTTCTAAAAGAAAAAGGAACAATGATATAAATTATTTTATTGTCAATGGATAGACAATCCCTAGTATGACTTAACAGTTTACAAACGATACCAACCTAATACATAAACGAATTGACTCTAACGCAAATCACAATGCCACCCATTATCACAACAATATCACCGATGCACAAAGACAAGAAGAGAAGACGGATCGTTGACAGTGAGTTTTTTTATTGTCTGAACAATTAACAGCTATGCTGAATATATACATCTTTGAATAACCTTTACAACACTAAACCTCACCTAGTTTACTAGTTCACTAGTTACTAGCCGGCCCTAAGCCCCGAAAAACAGGGAAGGTTGGGCATAGGGCTAGCTACCCTACCCCGTAAAACCAATCCAACCTCTAAAGAAACTTCAAAGCACAAACAAAATTATTCGTCACTGGAATCGGAGATGCGAAATGACGCTGGTTGGTGAAAGCCTACGGGAAGCCAATTGGCCGATTTGTCTTCTCTCCCTCGATGAAAACGAAAGTAAACGTGGGGACATGGAATGTCCGCACCATGTTTGAACCCAGTAAGGCAGCCCAGATTGCAAAAGGAGATGAAAAGGTATCACATCAAAGTGCTTGGGATTTGCGAAAGCAGATGGAATGGAATTGGAGTCTCCAAACTGTCAACTGGAGAGTCAATAATCTACTCCGATATTGTCACCCACAAGACACTCACGAGCACGCTAAGTTTTGGAGTGGCAATCGTGATGTCCCCAAGAGCATCGAAGGCTCTCTCTTATGCAGTGGGAACCAATCTCCTTCTACTGGATCATGACAGCAAGATTCAAATCAAAAGACAGGAAAGTTACAATCATACAATGCCAGTACTACGTATCTACAAATAATGCAGATGAAGAGAAAAAGGAGGAATTCTACAAACAACTGCAATCAGTACTGTACAAGATCCCACCCCAGTTGGTGACATGAAAATTCTAATGGGTAGGGTGATATAAATGCCAAACTGGGAGCGGAAAACACAAGAAGAGAGCTTATCATGAGTAGAGAAGCGCTCGGCGAAATGATGAATGAGAATGGAGAACTGTTTGCAGATTTCTGCACATTCAACGATTTGCTGATTGGAGGCAGTGTGTTCAAGCACAAGGATATCCACAAAGCAGCGACATGGAGTTGGTTTCACCAGATGGACAAACTACACTGAAAATCAGATCGAATTTATCTCAATCTGAAGGCGGTGGAGAGGCAGCCTACTGGACACAAGGTCAAGAAGGGAGCAGATGTATGTTCAGACCACTATCTAATGCAAGGAACCTACCTTCAAAATCAAGTTGAAAGCCTTCAAAGAAGCTGGTGATAGACCACAGTTCAAGTTCAACACCCAGAACAGAAGGTGAAGGACTAAACTAAAATGGATGTCTTCACGGCAGCCATCAAGTCAAAATGAGAGATATTGAGCAACATTCCTGAAGAAACCTGCATGGATGAATACTGGAACTCTATGAAAGAGGTGTGGAACGAAACGTGCATGAGCGTGTTAGGAAGGAAGAAGAAAGAAGATAAGGAATGGATCTCAACGGACACAGAAGCAGGTAGAGGAGGTAAGGGAAGATGGTGAGTCAGAAGATAAACCAGTGCAAGGATGAACGACGAGAATAGGAACTGAGTACAACGTATAAAACAATACACTGGACAAAGAAGTGAAGAAGAGTGCATGGAAAGACAAAAGACACTTCTATGACACACTGGCAAGTGAAGCAGAACTGGTTGCAGGTAGGAGAGAGAGCCTTACAACACCACATCACATAACCAGGTTACTATGTGGGAAGAAATTAACGCAGACGAAACCAATGAAAGATAGTGAAAGAAAGCTAGTTACCAAAGAGGAGAAACAAGGGGAACGATGGGTTGACCACTTCTTAAAGCTCTTGAATCGACCACCACCACCTGCAACTCGTCTCGAAATACCACCAGCACCCCAGCCACAGAACTACCAGTGAACACAGGCCCTCAGACAAAAACAGAAGTCCTGAACGCCACAAAGCTACTGAAATGCGGGAAAGCAGCAGGAACAGATGAAATCCCGCCAGAAGCACTGAATACGGACGCAGAGACAACAGCGGACATGCTCACACCACTACTGCCCGTAGTCTTAAAATAACCTACATGGCTGTTTTTCACACTGTTACTAGTTTTCTTTCTGTCTGCTTTCAAGGTTGAACTCTCATTGGTTGTTAGTGAATTTAGTGTTGTGAATTATTATTTATTTATATTTACCTTTGGGTTCTTAGTGGAAGACAGGATTTGAGTAGGAAGTTGCCACTTGACTCTCTTCTCTGCAGTGTTTTTAATCTGCCTCTACCACTTCCCAGAAGCTTTCATCTCTTCCTCACACCATCTTGTCGATGTCACCCTCGCTTCAGACACCGAATTCATGTCTTTCTGTTTTGGTTGTACTCGACGGCGTGGCGTGGCGTGGCGTGGCGTGACGTGTGATGTCCCCAAACCGTCTTCCTTCACACTGTATGTCCAATCCATCTCCACTTTCTTGTACTGCATATTTGTTTGACGATAGGTTCTTGGTCGGTAGGTTGGTTACCAGCCAGCCAACCAGAGTTCCTTGTTGGTTATTATTATTATTATGGCCATCTGAACATCTTCAGTATGGAGTGAGGGTAGGTGGCAACCGTTGATGTGATGTATATCTGTAGTTTGTTGGAAATGCTTTTGGTAACACTCTGCCAAGTCTCTGAACCATTACATAGAAGTATGAGTTAGTTGACTGACAATGGTGTTGAAAATCTGGATTGTTGTTCAGGGTTTTTGCTGAATGCAATGAAGTGGAGTGTAGTAGTTCTCCACACTGATTTTAAATTAATGAAGCCCACTTCTTTCTGTCTTTCCAATCCTGGCTTTGATATCCTCATCTGTGCCTATGCCGCCTGCAGTTGAAACAATGCTGTCTAGGTGGTAGATGAAAGAGACTACTTCCTTTAGATTTCTCCTGTTGATGGTGATTGGTGTTTGTTGTTGTTGGTTGGGTATCTTCATCACAGTCCCATTTTCTCTGCCTCTTCTGTCAATTTGTTGGTTATTGCCCGTAGATCTTCGAGTTTGTGCGACAAGACATTAGACATAAATCATTATCGGCGAAATCCAAATTTTCTTCTGGAGTCTTTTCATCGGTTCAACCAGCGTATGCCCACCTTCTCGCTCCTCACAGTTTCTTGCATGATCTAGTCCACTACAATCATGAAGATCATCGGTGATATTAGCAACCTGACCCAGACCATCTAAGGAGATATAAACGACTGAGGTTTCAGCTCTGAAATTAATCAGTTGAAGTAAACATACTTTCAATCCTATCGTCTTCTGGTGTCAGCTGAATATCGAGGTGGGAAGTCATTTTTCTATCGTTAATCGTATTATATTTTGATATGTACCGTGGATCATAACAGGTTTGATTTTTAATTGATTGCTTCATTTTTTTTATTCATTTAGCACTTATCGTTTTTTTTTCCAAGTTTTCTTCATTTTCGGTGTAAATTTTTGCATTAACAACTTCTGCATTGTTTTGTGCGTTTTTTTTTTAAGAAACGATTGGAAAACATTTACACCGAAAACAAATGTTATGTGGTTCCATTACTTAACAACAAAATTATGCTGCAATTCTGATCTCTCCTCTGTGTCTCCACCATCTTCTACGTTGACATTTCACAGCACTTGTTGGAAGATATTACGTGATTTAGAGGCGTGTACCCGATCATTTAGTTATGATTCAGCCTATCATCTGGTTACTAGCCATAAATTATTTAAGGATTGTAGTAAATTCTATACTGTTTCATAAAAAGTTGATCCTTATCTTCCTCTTTCTTTTTCTATATATACTCGATAATATATTTGATAACATATTGCCCATTGTCTTTTCTCACTATTGGTTAGATTATACTACATGCTTATCTGGTATGTTGTATACACTTGCTTCAATTGTGAACTAAAAATATACCCATTTATTCATGAATAAGAACAAGATATATATCAGCTCAGAAGAAATAGTCCTCTTCAACAACTTCATTATCAAGCTGTACAGTAATCGTATTTATACTTGGTAAAATGATAGATAATTACACTAAGAAGAGTTGCTTAGTCAATATACAATTGGTGTTTGGTAGTGGGATTTATTCATGTAGATGAAATGGATCACTGAATAAACTAGAACAAAATGGTAACAAATGGTGAAATGAGGGACAAGTTCTATCAGAGAAGTGTAAAATGCTGATAAGTTAACTGAAACATGCAAAACGGATCAATGATTCAGTGATAATGATGATAATAAAAGAGAAGTATACATTGTCATCATTTTTCATTTCATTGACAGTATTTGACCCATATTTCACTATTCCATATCAATTCGTTTCTGGTTATCGTGCTCTAGTGGCTTAGTAGATAATGCTCTGGCGCTTGAAGCGATGTGTACTGCGTCCGAGCGCCAATGGAAACTATATCCCTGTTACGGACTGCTATATGCTAGGGCCGCTAACGATGCAGAGATATCGACTGTCAGCCAGCAACATTCAACAAATTCCTAGTCGATTCCCTACCCGACTAATTAATGGAGAAGACACGATGGACGTGTAGAAACGTGTATTAGGGTTGAAAGACTGAAGGTGGATGATGGGAGAGTTTTTTTCCCGAGAATATAATAATAATAATAAATCCCAAAACAGGTGAATAAATACACTGATAAAATAATTTTGTCCGCAATTTGAGACATTGGCATAGTAAGAGTAAAGATTAACCAACCGGCGAATTACATTACAATGGAGGCAGAAAATACACTACTAGTCACACCGTAAAAATGGTGTGAGAATGACAAGTTAAAAATGTCTAGATGAATAACAGTGTTTTATGCAAAACTAGGATCTCACAATAATCTGTCACTAGGGTCCGAGTAGATCCAACTGACGAGTCCCAAATAGGACGAAACGTGCATTCTGGATTCCTCTGCTAGTCACTAAGATCAATATAACATCATGATAATCCAGCAAGACGGAGGCATGCGACCCAGCAACAGAAAATTACAAATATTATAACACTAATTCGTTCCTTATTCGGTGACCCATTTTCTATTTTTTCCACATGAACAAATCCATACACTAACATCACTTGTATACTGACCGAACAACATTCTAATGTAATTATCTCTATATCGTTTTACCAATTATAAATACGACTGTACAGTTTGATAATGAAGTTGTTGAAAAGAAATATTTCTTCTTAGCTAATATATCTGCTTAACTTTAAAAGAATTCGAGGTGTATTTTCGTCCACACAAGAGGAGTTGTATTGTTGTTGTGTGTATGAAGTCGAAGAAGAAGCGACGTTGAGAAATACTACCATTTCGTATTAACATATAATAATCCATGTTTTATGAAATACACATAGGTTAAAAAAATAGTGTACATATTCTGAAATGAAATTGCCTACACATCATCAAATTATTACAGATAATGATAACTGTTGCCTAAACCAATGTCTACATGTAACAAATTGGCTGATTATAAGTTTATTTTTATATTTTTCATGATTTTATGATTAGTATTCTTTTCCCTTAGGTTCCTAGTGGAACATAGTAGGGCTTCGGTAGCACATCTCCATTGCAATCTGTTCTCTGCAGTCTTTTGAACCTCGCTTCACGATAGCCCACAAGGTTTCATTTCTTCCTCAGATGATCTCCTCCATGTCACCCTCGGCTCAGACGCCCAATTCGTTGTATCCAATTTGGATTCCAGTCGACGGCCAACTCACACTTTTAGGATGAGATACCGCCACAACACGTTACGGTCGACAGAGTCCAATATCGCTTTCAGGTCAAGAAACATGCCAAACTTTGGCCTCTGGTAAGTGTACCTATGTTCCAGGAACTGTCGGGAGGTGAAAACTTTATGGATACACCATTGTTCAGTTCTGTAGTCTGTAGAAAAGCAAATTGTTTGTCAAATAGCAGAAGTGATCATGAGAAGAACGTAGTCAAATCTAAAAGTTACCAGAATATTGAATTTCATTATATGATTGTCGATGATTCTTGCATGCGAAGTATGAGAAATAATAAAGTCTCACTGCTTCTTCAAGTTGTATACACTATTCCGTATACCATTGACAATTTTGTAATAAAAACCATTCAGTTCATTGAATGCTTGGAACATTCAACTTAAAGTACTGAACCGACTAGACTTTACTATCGACAAGTTAAGAATGTCAATGAGAGATGATAATATTTCTTAGTGATCATGTAGGTTTTCATATTAGACTCTCCGTTTGATATACCACATAATGATATAGTATATTGTTGTTGCTTGTGATATCCTGTCGTTGAGTGGACCGACTTTATCGGCATATCGAGTAATACAAGCAACAGTATTAAAAACTATACCCATCGCACAAAAAGTGGCTCGCTGGTTTAGTGAATAACGCTCCGACATTTGAAGCGGTCGGACCCAAGTTCTAGTTCGGTGGTGGCAACATCGCTCACTGAGAGGCAGGTACACCCAGCTGACGAGTCCCAAAAGGGCGAAATGCGCATCTTGGTTTCTACTGTTAACTACTACTCATTATTAGTATAGTATCACTTACTAGATGACATTTCGAGCAGAATCTGCTGCTCGTAACTATATCAAGGTAATCATGCAACTCTCTGGTCTAGATTTTATACTTTCATCGTTTTTCATTCTTTGGTTTAACTGATAGTAACATTTTCCACATATGGAATACGTGTTGCGTCATTTCGATCACACGTGTTAAGTGTTGAATTGATGAACAAAACTTCAGTGATCAATTTCTTTCTCTGCTTAATCACACTAGTCTCCTGTGTTACAACTCTGTCGCATAGTGTTGTGTATTAACACATACACATAACTATCATTGCATTCTTCACTAGATTACTTATCTTAGCAGGGTTTATCAGTCTAGACTTAGCTAGTTTCCTATGTTCTCTTAACTCAACTGACCCCGTTCAGCCAGTTTAACCTATATACTTCATCCTGAATCAATGGAAAAAAGGTATTTGGTAGATTAAATTATTCTTTCTATTTGAATAAGTCGAATCCTTAAGCTGACAAAGTTTTTCTCTCAGTGAGTTGGTAGGTTTGTATGCCACCCTAATTCTAGTCTTGTTGAGAATCCTATGATGTAGTAGGGTTTCTCATGTCTCTTCATTATACGGCAACACTATAGACGCCTTGAATTCCTTCTCAGTCATGTTGCAATCATTGTTCCCATCAATACTTCCTCTTTTTTTTATGTGTCCTTATGTATTTGTGAATAAATTTCAGAAGATGATTATCAAGGCGTAAAGCTCCTCTTATATGTTTCAGTTGTTTATTTAAACTTTTGGACTTGCTAACTTGATTACGTAAACATTTTAGTAAACCCTTGTTTACAGATGTAGAATAATGAGATAAACTTAACTCTAGATATATATTGGAATGTGATGGTTTTCTGTAGACACTTATGATTTAACCACTGTCTTGTCTCTGTTTCACTTCAAAACCTAACATATTTAGTTCTCCTTGTTCATCTTATCACTCGAAAGTATGCTGTATCCCACCTACTCAGATTGAGTTTTTATGTCTGACGAAGCTATGTGAATGTTTGGATTTGAACACAATGAATGTGTCATCACAAATCTCCAACATACATTCAGAGTAGTATTAGGCGTTGTATGAGCCATATATTCCTAACTGTCCATAAGAATATCCAGGATATTGGTAATCCTATGGTTGCTGCTTCTGCTTGTTTACATATTTTATCTTGAAGTTTGAAAACTCTAGAAGTCGAACATAACGGAACCTCCTAACACAATTTTTCAATCGGTACTTTATTTCTGTAAGTGGGTTCAGGATCATTCTGAAGTTCATTTCTGATACCTTCTAGAAGCATACTAAGTAAGCTTGCAATACCAAAATAATCATTTTTTTCATTCTCTTCCAAGTGAATGTTATCTCACCTGTGCTTCATTTCACATGAATTAGTTAGTATAGATTTTCAACGGTTTCTAATAGGACATAATATCAGTACGGTATATTTACTCATTTCATATGTTGGGATGTTCCTAAGGTCAACTACCGGTTAAATAGGATAACATAATTTATGAGCTTCATTAGTACCAAATATCCTAACAGGATTATTAGCTTTAGGTATTAAAGTAAGCTACTTTAACTCATCCAGATATGGCGTCATTCGGCTCATTAGATCTCTCAATCTGATTCGTAATAGCGTCTACAGATTTCTTAATCTCTTCATGTAAACTCACTTCGATATGTTTTATGACTCTCATGAAGTAATTGGAGTTTTTGAAGACTGTTTATGAGAACATAGTTGTAGTTTGGCAGACTAATATGTATACTAGGAGGTGATTGAAGGTGAAATGAAAATTTTCGGGCCGCAGACAGATTCGAACCAGCGACCACCGGGTTCCCAGCGCGATACTCTACCAACTGAGCAACGAGATCCGACTGCTGACCAGATTTTTATTTTACCCATTTTAAATACTAGTCTACCAAACTACGGCTATCTCAGTCAAATGATAATCAATATGATGCTCTCCCTCTTTGATTCAGTTAGATTTCAATTACTATGAGAAGTCGTGACAAGGTAGCCAGTGTGAATACGATCACGAAGTCACATGGTAGTCGCACAAAACCCTTGGTGATTGAAGTGAAATAAAAATCTAGTCAGCAGTCGAACCTCGTAGCTGAGTTGGTAGAGCATCAGGCCGGAATCCCGGTGACCGCTGGTTCGAATCCGTCCGTGGTCCAAACATTTTCATCTCACCTTCAATTATCACCC